TAGAGCTTTGTAATTTTGATGAAATTTTGTGAATTTTTTTAAATTTTTGTACAAAGTTTGATGTTTGGATTTACTTTTATAAAAAATTTAGAACATTCAATTAACAAAATAAGAGAAATCAAAAACGGTTAAAATATTGAAGTGCAATCGTTTTGCCGCAGACTGTATGTATCGTTGCACGTGGGTAATAAATTGCTGAATTTGTCAGCTGCTTTTGTAAACGCACATGCATTTCGTAATTAAATAGGAATATATTTTCAATTTGTTGTCTATGTATTTATAGCATATTAAATTCAATAACTAAATGCTCCCTCTCATCCACCAGTTAATTTATTTAAATCGTGATCCAATTATTTATTCTCTTATATGTGTATGAAAAAGTAGATATTTAAGCTATTCAACTACATACTCTTTTTGTTTAATATCCATCATACTGGGCACATGCTGAACTGCCATACAATAGATATTAATTGATAGCCTATTTGATTGTCAATCACCGTCATTTATTCCAACAAATAAAATGCATTTGTATGTGCTTTCGCCGCAGTAGGTCGGTTTCCAAAAAGCGTTTATTTTTGCTTTTATGAGTACAAATAAATTTCTTATGCACATACACATACAACGCTACGAAATTTTGTATGCATAAACTGCTTGTAAAGATGTGGTGTTAAATATCCAAAATGTCAATAATTTTACTTAACGACTATTAAGTAATCCTCACCAGTCAATAAGTAGGAGATAGCCAATTTTCAAAAGCCAAAAATCAACAGTCAACTTTAAATAGGCAATAGTTAAAAGCCAACAGGCAATCGCCAATTGTCAATTTCATATAGGCATCAATCAAAAGTCAATAGTCAATTGTTCAGTAGTAAAAACTCTACGCCAAAAAATTAATAAGAAGTTATTAATAGCTTGCAGTCAATAGTCAATTAACAATTTTGACTAGTCAATAGTTAGTCGATAGTCATTAGTCAATAGTCATCAGCCAACAGTAAATAATCAATAGCCAATAATTACCAGAAAATAGCTAATAACAAATAGTCAATTATCAGTAGTGAATTGTTAGTTATAAATACTCAATACGCTAGCTGAAAGCGAAAAGTTACTAAGTCCACTTTTCATGAAAACTCGTATTGTGATATAGCAAGCGGGAGAAATTAAAAATGTGTCATTTAAAACGGGGATTAAGGTACTAAAAAAATGGCTATAAGTTTTTTCCTCTCCTGTAAAATTAATAAAAAAAATGGCAAATTTTCGCTATAAGCTAGCTAGCTAGTCAATTATCTATGGTCAGTATAAAGAGATTCTAGGTATTTTTATGTTTGTATTGCTTAGGAAAGAAAATGAAACAAATGATCGCTTTCCTTTTGTGAACATCAGCTAAAACTGAAGTTCATAGCGTTGTTCCGTTGTACCAGCGCTACACAAAAATTATTTAGGTCACAGCGGAATTGCACTAAATTTTTATTTTTTTTATACAAAAGTTCGTAAAATTAAAGTACGTCAGTCCTGATGCTTATGTATGTGCACAAACTTTTATTTACCCTGTACGAAATTACACTTCACCCGCCGGTCTTTGCCACTTCCCTGCCGAATCTGCCCGCACTTAAAGAAGGGCGTGGCTGCCTTTTGGAAGTAAGAGAATGTACATTTGGTAGCGGAACTACTTCTTAGCCGCTTTGCCATGTAAGGTATGTAGAATGTAGCGCGCCGGCACATTATTTTGCAACTCAGACAGTAAGACGTCATCGGAGGTTTCATTTTGTGTTTTACTAATAAGTAGATGGACATTGGTCATGACGACAATTTTGCTACTAAAAGCTTAAAGATAACGTGGATTACCTCGTAAAGTGCTTACGTGTTTTCCCAGTGGGTACAATCGCAGCAGCATAGTGCATGCATACCTTAATGGCGCCCGAAAGCACGCCACAATCGAAACAAAACTAAATTACCTGCAAGTTACACTGATTACTGACTGATTGTTGACACGACAAACAAAATTGAATACCTCAAGTGTAAACAGGCAGGCACACGCACCAATACACAGCCAAGCACATTTACTTGCGCTAAATTCTGTGGAAACGGCTGTCGAACATCAAATTGAGCACACGAGCATCATATCATCATGGAATGGATGAATCTTGACAAACACATGTCTGCAAGTACTTGTGCATGTGCGAGACATGCGTTTGTACTTGGTTTGCATTTAGAAACAAATTAATTAAATATTATCGTCTTATTTACATTAAGTCTTTGCTGATGTTTTCAAATTGATGTCGAGTTGTTGACTTTACATTCTGCGTTGCGCTTTGCTTTGCTAGGTTGCGTTGTCATTTTGCAATGACATCCAATATCAAGTCAACCCAGAAACCAGTTTCAATTGAAAATTTAAGTGAATGACATTCACTCTGTACCTACAAGCGAGGGAGTTTGAGCTGCAAAGCAATAACATTGCTGAAATTTCTATACTAAGTACCTATGTATATATGTATTTTTTTTGATAAACTTTGGGGTTAACTGGAATTCTAATTTTAACTTGAACTACTCAAAGGAGTTAGTGTCAAAAATATCTACAATGTGTCGCAAAAAATGAGTTTCTTTTGATATCATTAAAAAGTATGTTATTTTTGTAATGGTATACATAGGTATGAGCCGTTTATTTGAAAGTGGCATAAGTCACTTTTTCAAAAAAATTTTATTAATGATAACACCAATTAGAATTTAATGGTATCGGTTAATTTGAAAAAAAAAATTATAAAAAATTGCATTGAAATTTTGCGGTTTCTTTCAAGAGAAATTTTACTAATGAGCGGTATAACGAAAATGTTTATTTTGAAAAAGGCATAAGTCACTTAAAAAAATCTAGTTAATGATAGCATTGAGCCGAGCAAAGGTCAGTTTGGCACAAATATAGTAAAACTGCGTTTTCAGTTTCTTTCTCTGGCGTCAAGGAGTTATTTAAAAGGACTTTGAAATTTCAAAGATTTCATTAGTTCCACAAATTCAGTGTATAGAATAACAATATCATAGCATACCAAATAAAATATAAAATTCTGTGGAACTGGTATTGAAAATGGCCTCCTTGAGTATCCTTGCAAATTTGCAGTGTTTATTTTTGAAAAAAATATAGGTTCAGGATTAAAAACATTTAAAAAGGCATTTTCAATATCAATTCGTCCTTGTGAACCAAAAAAAATCAATATTTTTAACTTCCAAAGAATTTATCTTTTTTTGTTACCCACATTGTTAGTCGAGATGGGAATGTTACTCATACGCCATGTATGTACGTTCGATTTTAACTTTCCCATGATAAATGGTAGATCCAATATGGATCAGAAATTTTTAATTTTAAAAATCTGATTCCAGATTCGCAATCAGCCATCTTAAGAACCCCTGACGGTAAAGGTTTAATCGAATTTAAGTGATTTTAATTTTCTGACCGTTATATTGGGTCCGCCATTTGACATCTTGTAAATCAGCGACCCCAAGACCCCTCAGGTAAAAAGTGGCAAGTGAATACAAGGATTTTTTTAAAATACGTCCACCATTATTGAATCCACCATTTTGAAATTTGAAAATCGGACTTTAGATTCGTAATTAGCGATCCTAAAAACATTAAAAAATGTCATAACCCAAAATTTTTGCCTCAATTTTGTTAAGAAATTAATAAATATATTTGCTTATTTCAGAATTCAGCGTCTTTTACCCAGCACAGTAATGACGCCATTTTGAATTTTAGATTCTGCCTCTTTGCAATCGAAATGGTATTAGCTTACGGGTAGTTAGACTTACTAGAGGTTTACTTTAGTTGCTCAGAATTTTGGGCCGAGCTCTGGGCCGCTTGATGTGAAACGTCCCATTTTTATATAAACATATACATAGTGCAAGAATTGCACGTTTAAAGTAATAAGAGTATAATCATCAATTTTAGTAAACCACTGTTTTTTAACTTTTTCTGCCATAATTTTTCTGCCACCTTTTATGAGAATGAAAAAAAATTTAACAAATTTATTTTGCAGTCGCCATAAAATGTCGCGAGCAACTAAAGTGGAACAAAAAGGCCATTGACTTGTTCCATTTATAACTACATTTGCGCTGATACATTTAGTTGTACCATTGGAGGGAGAACGAAAACAACAAGCGAACGTTGGCCAACTGCCATGGCTCGCAACCAAGCTACATACATACATAAAAATATACAGCAGCACTAAAGCCAAATCGATTTATGGCTTGATATTTTTGTTTTAATCCCAACCTGGGCTTAATGGCTTGGGGCTGCTCCGCACAAAATGGAATTAAATGTGTTTGGCTAAAGGCGATAAGAATCAACTGGTGCTGATAAGCGTTTAAGACAATGTTGGCATATTGCCCATCTCTGTAACAGTTATATATGTATAAACAAGTAATTTTTAAGCAAAAAACAAAACCGACTTCAGTTCTCATCTAAAAATGTAGGAGAACCGTTATTTTTTCATGATCCAATGATCTGATCTAAACCAGATTATTATGGGATCGCCTCTGGGACACTACCTTTCCGATGCAAAATTATCGAAATCGGTCGACGTGGTCCAAAGTTATGTGGTAGCATACATTAAAAAATAAAAATAAAAAATATTCCGACGAACTGATAACCTCCTCCTTTTTTAGAAATATATAGATATATATACATATATTTTTTAAATCGTTTTTTGTTGCTAAAAATTACTTTTAATTATTTTAAATGCTGCCGCTACAACCACCAACTTTAAATTGAAAAAAAAACGAATTAAAATCACTAACCTGGGAAAACTCTGAAATCACCTTTCTTTGTACAATCCAGACTTTCGGCAAACTTTGGTCACATCGATTAATCACAAAAAAAACTAAAAATGTCGTATAGTGTTAGTATAGAAATTATTGCCTTCAAAAACACCTCTTCCTTCATTTAAATTAATTTTTATTTTTGTATGCTTGCTTCTAAAAATACCAACCCTCTTTTATCCTCCTCTCGCACTTTTCAGCTCTAGCAACACTATACAATTTTACCTGCCATGGGCAATTTGACCTCCACGAACACCGCATCAATGGATATCAGTCCGCATGCTGCCGACCATCAAAACCGCAATCACAGACACAGCTACAATGTCACCGAACAAGTGAGTGATGATGAGTCGCCTGATAATCACAGCAATAACCCCAACAACAACATCGGCAACGTAACAATCAGAGTCAATAACGGATTGAGCAATGGCAGCGGCGCCAGCGGTAACGCTAATGGAAATGGCACCACAGCAGCCGGCAATGGTGTAGCGAAAGTACCGCGTTCATATGAGCCACGCGAGCAGCGCATCATCACCAAGAATGTAATCGTTATCGGCCTGGCATTTATGATACACTTCACTGCTTTCCATGGCACTTCGAATTTGCAGAGCTCAGTAAATTCGGACAAGGCGTTGGGCACCACAACGCTTGCTGTCATTTATGGCTCGCTGATTTTATCCAATATATTTCTACCGATGACAGTTATAAGGTAAGAGCGGATGTGAAATGCCAATGTACATAACTACATATGTATATGTAGTTACTAACAGACATGTATAGATAAGTCAAATGGTAGTTATTGATTTAAGCGTTTGCGAGGTGGGTGTTTGTGTTCGTAGTTAATGGTTATGGATAGTTGCTGGTATTTTTCCAGTTGAAGCTATACATTTGCGATTCGAGTGTGCTAACATACATACATACATCTGTACTAACATACATACCTACAAATGTACAATGCAACAAGCATTTTCATGTGAAAAAATAATGAAATTTAATGCCCCGCGTTGTAAGTCGCCATAACAGAAGAGGAAAAGAATAATTTGTATCTGTAGGATATTACTTGAAAAACTAACGAATGAGACTGCCTACAAAGCGAACGAAGTGTAACTGAGGATATATCGCACACTGTCTTCAAAAGAGTCACAACTCAAAATTTGGCATTTTTGAGATTATGCGCTAAAAATGTATGCAGAGCTTTTATTTACCTTTCAGCAAAAGCTGGAGCAAATTTTTGTTATAATTTATTAAAAAAAAAAACCTAAGGTAAAGTCGCCCTTGCCCACATGATTATCATGTTGTGACTCTTTTGAAGACGGTGTGCGATATATGCGCTGCCGGCAAAAAGTATTGGCACAGCAAATTTTTCACAATATATGCAACACTTTTTTTTAATATTCTTCCACCATTTTTTTTTTTTTTTAAATGGGTCAATCTATAACAAATAACATAAAAAATATAATTCCCAAACTTTGAGCAAAACTCACGAAAATTCAGCAAATTGTCAACTTTTTAATCAGATTTTGAAAATTTACATACAAATTTGCTGAATTTTCGAGAGTTTTGCTCAATGGTTAGGAATTATATTTTTAGGTTTTTTGTTGTAGATTGAACCATATTTTTATAAAAAAAATGGCGGAAAAATTAGCTGTGCCAATACGCTTTGCCGGCAGTGTAGTTTTTTTTTTCAATAAATAAAAATAAATCTTATTTCTTTTTCGCGCTACTTCTAGGACATGTGTATAAGAAGTTGAAAATTTTGTAGCAATATACATATTTTTGCTGCTAATGATTCATGTAGTCGAAAAGGGTTACCTTTTCATTCTCCACGCACTTGATTTATGTTCAGCAGCATTTCAATAAAACGAATGCCCAATTTCCGTAATGAAAGATTTTTTCTTTGCATTGCGTGAGAAATAAATCGGTTTGTACGAGTACCTACGAAGCGATAATTCCACCGTACTTAGTCCATTTAATTTATCCATTTATTCGCCTCTTTTCAGTGTTTCAATTTCCCATATTTTTCATGGAAATACAGCAATAATAAATCTTCCGAAAGGTGTCGAAGAGTTAAAACAAAAGAGTTCAAGCGTAGTTTTTATATTTATGCAGGTCGCCTTGTGCAGTGTGTTTTTTTTAGCGAATAAAGCAAATAATTTAAGATAACAAAAGGTTAAAGATTTACAGAGAAATTAAAAAAAATCGAAATCGAAAATTTGTATGAGGAAGTCACTTTAAACTTATTCAATTTAAGTTTGCCTATTAAATTGTATGCATTTATAAAACCGTGTGACAAAAACAAAAAAATTCGGAACAAACCAAGCAATCAATATACTTACGAAACTATTGGCCTTTATGCTTTAAGTTTTTCTCTCTGACGTCAAGACTTTTTTTTAAGGATTTTGTATTTTTAATGATATGATTAATTCCAAACATTATTAAACAAATTCAGTGCAATGTAGAATAACAATATGGGTACCAAAATAAAGAGAAAATTCTGTAGAATTATTAAATAAATTAATATCTTTTGGTTCACAAGGACGAAAGGGCATCGAAAATGCTCTTAATTAATTTTATTATTTTAAACATATAAAGTTAGACATATATTTTTTCAGAAATAAATATTGAAAAATTTCAAGAAAATTCCATTAAAAATTAAAAGAACATTTTCAATACCTAATCGTCTTTATGCACCAATAAATCTGTTTGAATTTGTACAGAATTTTCTCAGTAATAATATTTTTCTATGTTTAACGGTCTTTAACAAATCGTGTGCCAGAAGAAAAACTAAAAAAAAAAATGACTGCCGCACGTTGTAAATAATACATTAAAACAAGTAATTTTTAATTCAATTCTCATAAAAAAAAAAAATAAATATATTTCATGATCCAATGATCGGATCTAAACCAGATTAGTATGGGACCACCTCTGAGGCACTATCTTTCCGATGCAATCGAATCGGTTGACGTGGTCCGAAGTTATGCGGTAACATACATAAAAAATTAAATAAAATACAAAAAAATATTCCGACGAACGGATAACCTCCTCCTTTTTATGAAGTCGGTTGAAACCCAAACAGACTTCAATTCTCATATAACAATTTAAGATTATCGTTAATTTCTTCAGGATCCAATGATCTGATTTAAACCAAATTAGTATGGGGCCACCTGCGAAGTAACACCTTTCCTTTAAAATTCACAATTAAGTGAAGGTATCTCATTTTGACAAGAATATTGATTTGAATTTGATTTTACTTAATTGTGAATAAAAGCGAAACGCGTCCATCGATTTTCATGATCTATGTCTCATTTTGCTTAAAGGTTATGTGACTTTGCGTGAAAGTAATACGACTTGCCTTTTTTTCCGTTTTGGATTTTTTATGAATTTAAAAAATAAAAAAATTTAATATTTTAGGCAAAAAATATTTTTTTTCTTCATACATTTATTTTTACCGGCAAAACTGTTGATTATATAGAAAAACATTATATGAACAGATTAAAGGAATTGTAATTTTTAATTTTTTTAAATTTGTTTGAGCAAAATCGGACTAGTGGTTCTCGAGTTATGTAAAAAAAAAGACCACCAAAGGTGACAATTTCCCCTATATGATAGTTACTAACTTCAAATCGATATATCTCGATTCCTAGACGTGACCCAGCGAAACGCCGGGCCACGTATAACTTGTTTTTGACCGATATAACATTTCCCATTGGTTTCATCCCATCCCGATTTTGACTGTCGCATAGTGTAATATGCTTCAAGATTTTTTGGATTTTTTTGTGACCATTCGAAATTTGAAACCCTGTGAGAAACTTTACTTTTCCGAATTTTTCGGGACTTATTTGAATTTTTTCTGGTTTCTTCGGAACTGTTCGAGACTTTTCGAAACTATTTCGAGACTTTTCGATAGTTTCTCGAAACTTTTCGGTATTTGCTGGAAATTTTCTGGGTTTGGCGGGATTTTTTTGGGACTATAGGGAGCTTTCAGGTCCAAGAGAGTATTAAAATATTAACTCTGCCTGTTAGAAATGCCTGAAAACTGAAAAAAACAAAATTTGTTTGCTCAAATCAATAAGTTTGTATCTGGGAAGCTTTGGCTATTTTCGCCTCATTACAACACAGCACAGATTAATATATGTACACTGATCATAATATCGATAAATATATCGTTAAGATATTTAAAAAAAATTCCATAACCTTAACGACAGTACAAATAGAATTAGCGGCTTTTAGAGGTTGCCATGAAAAAAAATAATAATTCCAAAAATACACTGATAAAATTATGTAAAAGTTTTGCGAAGCTCAGAAATCTCGCCTGCTAAATTCTAAAATACACAAATTTATGCAAAATCTTAATGCTGATTTATTGAAAGATTTTAAAAATTTACAAAATTAAAATATGTATGTATTTATGTATATGCGAAACCATCGACGGCGAAATTAAATACATTTGTCAATACTCGCACAAACCAAAATAAGTTTAATATCTGCGTATACACTTCCACCTCACACATTCCCTCTCCACACTTATTTATGTACATATCCACATGATAATCCCCATCCCCAGCGGCATAGCCTACGCTCCACAATAGAGGAATTCTAGAAGTCTTGCAAAGCCTTTGCGCGGTGCACAGATTGCACGGTAACAACCGTTTTTACTATGGGACAGCTTTGCAAACCGTGCATTGTACAAGGACTTCGCAAGACTGCGAGAATACCCGCAATGATTTTGTTGACCTTCACTTGGCTTTTGTTGCCTTCAAGCAAGCATATTGGTATGTACATATCAATTTTTACCAAAGCTAGCGTTTATTGATGCAGCTGTTACTGCATGAAAAACCCCATGAAATCTCTATTGTCCATACAGAGATATCCATGCATTTACACAACATATGTATGTATATGTATGCATGTTTATATGCAGATGCGTTTGCATGCTTGCCAAAGGCACTAAGGCATGCGCGCGGGCCTATACAGCAAGGGTTAAACTCGACCAAAGGCAAACAGCATCAAGCGAAACTTTATTATTTCCACAGCCATAGTCTTGCTGGCTTCCTACGCTTTGCTTTTACTTTGTTTACTAGTACATACATATATTTATGTATATTTTGTTATACGTGTGTGTGTGTATGCACTAGTTTTGCATTGTACTTTATTGCAGTGTGTGCATTAGTTTTGTGTTGAGTAGCTGCATTCGCTTAATTGTTTACAGTAAAACTACAAACGAGTACATAAATCAATAACATTGTAAATCCGCCTGTAAATATGCAACAATATTGTATAGTGGGATCAGCTGCTGCATAAGTTGGCATATTGCATGCGTGCAATTTGAGAGGAGAAAAACAAAAATACAATAAAATTAAGTTAATATGTTTGCATTGTGCGGCAGCGCATTCCCATCCGATGGTGGAGATTATTAAGTGAGCATGCATTGTTCTGAGGCCATAATGTGCAAACACAAAATCGGCGTTGCACTGAAATGTGTGCGAAAGCGTAAAATGCTTTTGAAATGTTGAAAAGTCAGGGTAAATAGTAATACTTGAAACAAAAGTTAATCGGAAATGGTTGAGCAAATGATGCGAGGAATATTGAATGCCTCTTCTTTCGAGGCTCATTGACCAATTAATGGTTAAAAGGAAAATGACCGATAACTATGGCGTAAAGCCACGTGGAGTGGACTAGTGTAGCTTGATGTAGTTAAGCTAAATTATTTCAAGCCTCTCAGAACCATAAAGTTATCTATACATGTGTAAATTTAAAGTTAAAAAAATTAGTTAAGATTGCACTGACACAAATCTTGCCAATACATCCATCCAGCCCATTAAGTCACAATCTTTTGCCTATAGTACTAATTCATATTTTTCATTAAAATACATAATTTCCCACATAACAGATGGTTTGGCTGCCATCTCACTATGACATTGGCTTTCTTCGCCTATATGCCGTTTATGGCAGCGCAGTTCTATCCACGCTTCGAGACACTTATACCAGCAGGTTTGCCATTTGCAGTACTTTCAAAGGAAAACATAGTAAATCTTATACTGCTTTTCAGGTTTGATGGTCGGTTTTGGAGGCGGTCCACTGTGGTGCGCAAAATGCACCTACCTCTCCACAGTTGCGGAGGCACTGACTCAGGTACGTGGCAATGAGTCGCGCAAGGATGTGAATACAGTGAAATTCTTTGGCCTTTTCTTCATTTTCTATCAAATGGCGCAAGTATGGGGCAACTTGATATCTTCTTCAGGTGACTATAAAGTTTTTATAAGTGATAAAATAAGTTAAAACAAGTAAGAGCAGCGCTGTCTTCGGCTATGCCGAAGGCTTCATACCTTTCATGAACATCTGCAAATTTTACTTTGACAGATTACTGCTTTTGAATACATCTGCATACATCGATAGAGGAGTTACATACTTATATAAAAAATCGCATCTAAACAATCAGAGGTATGGAAGATATACTTTATATGACACCAATCTAAGTGATTTTCACCGCTATGTGATCGGTATGTAAACCGGTAACACAATTTATTGGGTTTAGTTTCCTACATAAAGGAGATATATGGCAAAAACTGGTATCTGAACAATCAGTGCTATAGGAGATAAAGCTTATACAGCATAGATTTTGATGATTTTCTCAGTAGACTTTGTATTATTATTTATAAAATATCTTACGAAATTTATCGGTTTTAGCTGTTCAAATACAGAAGTTTTACAGTAAAATCCCATATCTGAACAATCAGATGTATGGAAGATATATGTTGTAGTCATCCGATCCTTGTTATTTTCACTGTAAGTATTCTGTTAATGATGAGTGAAAATGGTGCGAAATTTCATGTTCCTAGCTGCATAAATGGAGGAGTTATGATAAAAGACCTCATATCTGAACAATCAGTTGTATGGGGTCTGCAGGTTGTAGTGACCCGATCTTTGTTATTTTCACTGTAAGTCTTCTGTTGATAATGAGTGAAAACAGCGCGAAATTTCATGGTCCTAGCTACATAAATGGATGAATTATAACGAAAAATCTCATATCTGAACAATCAGTTGTATGGGAGCTAAAGGTTATAGTTACCCGATCTTTTTAATTTTCACTGTAAGTTTTCTGTTGATAATTATTGAAAACAGTGCGGAATTTCATGTTCCTAGCTATATAAATGGAGGAGTTATAACGAAAAATTTTATATCTGAACAATCAGTTGTATGGGAGCTATAGGTTATAGTGACCCGATCTTTGTAATTTTCACTGTAAGTATTCTGTTGATAATGGGTGCAAGTACTGCAAAATTTCATGTTCGTAGCTGCATAAATGGAGAAGTTATAACGAAAAATCTCATATCTGAACAATCAGTTGTATGGGAGCTATATGTTATAGTGGTCCGATTCTTCCGGTTCCGACAAATGATTAATACATTTTAAAAACACACCCACCTACCAAATTTGATACGGATATCTCGAAAACTGAGAGACTAGATTGCATACAAACAGACGGACAGACGGACATGGCCAAATCAACTCAGCTCGACGTTCTGATCATATAAGTATACATTTTAATGGGTCTATCTCTTTTTGTTCTGGTACTTACAAACATCGGACCAAAGTTATAATACCATTTCATGCTCATGAAAGGTATAATTAAAAGAAAAGTGTCTACTAATTTTATGACAAGAACAAGTTTTCTTTAAATTTGCATTTTCCATTTTCCATTACATACCTACTAACTATCAACCTCCTTTCCTTCCAGTATTATCCTTTACCTCTTCGGCTACCGCAGAGGTAAATTCTACGCTCGAAGCTCTCGTCACACCACCGCCCATAGAAAGTCGCGTGGGTGAACTGTGTGGCGCCCGTTTCTGTCCTGGCATTAGCGCTGAAGTTAATCCGAATTTAATGCCCCCCGAGCCGGCGAAAATCCAGCTGCTCACCTCAATTTTCCTGATTTGCATGGCCTCAGCAGTGGCGCTAATGCTCTTCGGCGTGAACTCCCTGAAGCGGTAAGCGGTCTTTATAGCTTGAAACACATTGAAAACGACGAGCCGCTGCTTCCAAATTGTTATCTTCATTATCTTAACGTTTTGTCGATAGCGACATGAATTTTTTGAACGCGGCAGCGAATTCTTGAATTGTATGAGTTTGGCAAAAAAAAAGAAAATAGAAATAGATCCAATTAGGCCACAACCACAGTCGTGGTAAATTAATTTGACAGCTGTGGTCCGTAGCCCGTCGTTTCCAATGTGTTTCAAGCTTAACTTCAAAAATAAACCATTTTCTAAGCCTTCCTTCTCTTTTCACAGCTACGGCGTGCATCGCACCGACTCCGGCGATGGCATGTCCGGCTTGCGCCTGCTTACCGTGACCATAAATATGCTGCGCAAGCGTCGCCAATTGCTCATTCTGCCTATTACAATGTTCATTGGATTGGAGGAAGCCTTTCTGGCTGTGGATTATACGCGCGTGAGTAGTCATACAACTAAGTAACACGAATTGTCTCGCTGATATCTTTTCAATCCCTTCCACAGTCGTTTGTCGCCTGCGGCTGGGGCATTTCGAAAATTGGTTTTGCCATGATTTGCTTCGGCGTGGCCAATGCCATCGCTGCTGGCATTGCAGGCGCTCTTGTTGAGCGATTGGGCCGCATCACCTTGTTCGCCGCCTGTGCGCTCTTAAATGCTTCGCTTTTCATTTACATGTTCTTGTATGAGGCGCGCGAAGGCGATTATGTGAAGTACTGCGCATTTGCAGCAATTTGGGGTATTTGCGATGGTGTGTGGTTGGTGGTGGTGAATGGTGAGTTTGGCTGTTGTCGCCGCTAAATGTTGTTACTCATTGCTTTTGTGCTTATATCTTTTGCAGCTTTTTATGGCATTCTATTTCCAAACCATCTCATCGCCGGCTACAGCAACTTCCGTTTGTGGGAATCAACTGGTTCGGTTATTGGTTATATAATCAGTTCACAGTTGTGCACGGGGACGAAATTGGTAATACTGCTGTGTGTGTTGGGCGTCGGAAGCGCAGGGTAAGTTCCTCGAAAGTGCGAAAATTGTTGAAAAAGCTGGCGCTTGACGCCATTATTAATAAGCTGTAAGCGAGGAAGCTGCTAGCTTTTAGAACGGATGCACACTTGCACAGGATTTGTAATTTTTTTAACGAAGATGTTCATAGGCAGTGAGAACCAAAAAAGAGAGGCAGAAAAACTGCTTGAACTTAGTTGCTTTATCATAAATGAATGTACATATCTTTAAAACTTGTGATGGCTGTTTTACCTTGATTGTTGTACATGGGCGTAGCCAGGTAGGGGCAGGGGGGTGCTCGAGCCCCCCCTAACTTTCAAATTTTCCTTATATATATATAAAATAGTACCCTGAAATGCCAGCTTAATAGGGTCGACGCCGATGCTCCTGAGGAAATATTTCGAATTCGTCATAAAGTAGCACTCGCAAGTCCCAACTCCGGTTTCGCTGACCACAGTAGTTTTGCGAAGAACACCTTTCCGCAAAAATACTGTGGTTAGCGTAGCTGTCTTTTCAATTTGGAAACTTTTTCGATACGGTCCTACCTGTAACATAGGTCAAAACAAGTTCTGACTCCACATTAGGAAGTGGGCCTTTTATAGAAATACCAGGTAATCCTGAAAGTTTTGCAAGGCGAAAATTTGTTACGGCGCTTCTTGGCTCTAGAATGGTGGGATCTCTAACAAACTGCTTGATCGTGGCAATTGCTATATCTACCGAGTCCTATCCCGGAAGGTTGTGGATGGTCCTACCTTTCCTTGTCAGTTCGTCAGCTTTGCAATTGCCATCAATATTCCGGCGTAAACCGGCAACCATATGAGTAAAATTCTATGTAAATATGTACTTTCAAAAAGCTACGGCATTCGGTAGGGGACTTCCCTTTGTCTATGTGTGAGTCGAAAGATTTCAGGACTGCCTTCAAGCGTTGAATTTTTGAGATATTTTCTGCCACTTGACGACATATGTATGTATATTGATCATAGCTGTACAAATGTTGATTTTCAAGTGCTCCAAAATTTAATTTGTTCCCCCCATAAATACGGCCTCATAAAAAAGTCCCATGGTGCCTAGTCGGATAATCTCAGTGGCCAAATGGCATCCCCTCTTCCGCAAATTATGCGCCTAATAATCCTCTGTTGCAATGAACCATATCCATAACTCTGTGGATGATCAGATGTCCTTGTTTGCTTTGTGGCCTGAATTTTGTATGGATCAAGTTTGTAGGGCAATCGACAAATTTGTTTCTTCGGCCACACTTAGGTTTAAAATCCTCACCAAGCGTTTCTGTTGTTGTCACGTTTACGTTCACTATATAGATATAAAAATAAAAAAATGTTGCGGCAACACTGTTCGCAAATATTTTCTACTTATTTATCTGAGGAGTAGCTGAGAGTAGGGATGCCAATTTTGGAGGGTAACATCGATACATCGATGTTTCGATGCATTGGAAAAATAAACATCGATGCTAAAATATATCGCCAGAAAAATATCAATATATCGATGGTTTCCGATGTTTCACAATTTGTTAGGTTGCAGTCACATTAAAAGGACAATTTAAAACTTTTCAATTACAACTCTCTGTAATTCAATTAGAAAAATACTTACATATTTATGGATGTATTTCCCTGTAAGTGCATGCCGTAGTAAGTTCGCTGAGACTAAAGTTCAAAGGCCCAACCGACTCTTTTTTATTGATTAAGTAAGTTAAGATTTTTAATATCGAAAGATACGAGTAAACTCGGAATTTCTGAGTGTTCACATAAAGAATAAGTAATACAAATTCATGGCCAGTCAAAAATTGTAGGAGCATAATGGGTAAGTTGAATTCAAGTCTGCGTCACACTAAAGTCGATGTTAAAACATCGTTGAAACTGGCATTGATGTATCGTCAATTTAGCGATCTTGGGCAATTGTAAACATCGATGGCAAATATCGAATTTTGAACCGATATTATCGATGTTTCAAAAATATCGATGCATCGTTTGCATCCCTAGCAGAGAGTATCTCTTTGAAAATTAAGTAAGACAGTCACAATAATTAAGTCGCAACTACATAAATAGTGAGTGACAGTAAGCAAGAAAAATCTTAGTTTATGCTCCAGTTTTTCAGTACTCTACTCAGTAAGATTAGTTTAAAGGTTAGCAAGCTGGTTTGAACTACGATTAGCTGCTTAAATATCAGCCAGCTGAACACCTTTTACGTGATCTAAGTTTAAACTGGCGCTAAGCGATTTCCGCGATAGCGCCTGTGGATATACTTAGATTTTTGTCATTTCATCCCAGAAGATAATTTAGGTAGGCCTTCTTAATTGAAGCCATCCTAAGAGGCCTACCCAAGAAGGGCTGAAAAAGTACTTCCTTGAATGCCTTCTAGAAGGGCTTATCCATTTACAATTTATGCGAATGCATAAATTTATATTATTTAACATTACAAATGAATTCCAATAAAAATTTTAAGTTACAATAACACATATTTGATATAAAACTTAAGAAAATACTTCAAAGATGTATGATTTTTAAAAATTAAAGAAGCAACTTTAAAGAACTCCTCCAAAAGGCGTTCTGAAATACGTCCTATAAAAGCCCTTCTGGAAGGCCTTCTATGGGTAGCGAAAGAGGAAGCCCTTCAATTTGTGCCACTCCATACAAAAAAGAAAGGAGAAAGGAATGTAGAGTGGAAGGCCTCTTGATTCACAGGAAGGCCTTTCGGAAGGGCTTTTAACTCCTGAAATTATCTACTGGGATGTTGTAGCCATAGCACTGAAAGGTTTCCATTTATTATTTTTATGCTATTTTAGTTGTCTATACTCACTTACTTATATTTTTTTTCTTTTTTTTCAGTTATGGCGTTACCGAATATCGTTTGCGTAAAAAACAAAAAGCGCTGGAGCTTATGTTGAGTGATTAAATGTGGGAATTTCTGCAACTATTCCTTAAAGTGTGTTTTAGTTTTAAGTTAGAGAGATTAAGATATTTTAAATCAAAAATATATAGTTAGCACTTTTTTTCGTGAATAAAACTCGATTTTTTATTTATATTCTTGATTTTAGTTTTTTTTTTATTACAATCCATTTATATAATTTCACGCATACACACGCATTACATTATCAGTTAATTATGTATAGTGTTAGTACAATGGGGGCTTGTTCGTTTTATTTTAGCTATGTACACGGTTACATACATAACTACTTACATACTACTGAGTATATAACTAAATTACAGTGCTATTTTATTATTCATTTTTAGCATTTCTTTATTTTATCGTTTGCCTAGTTTACAAGTATTTATCTAAGTGCTAGCGGTTGTTCATTTTGCTCTTAGTAATAAATACTTAGTATGATTTGTTTTGGGTTTTGTTTTTTATACACATTTTTTTTACTATTAATAAACTATTACTTTACATATTTGTTTTCACGCTTACAACAAATTACGAATATAGCACATTGCGTTTGTTTGTTTTTTAATTTTATAAGTATGGTGTATTTTATTTCAATTTTTTTAAAACGTTTTATTCGCCTGCTTTAGCTGCGATTTTACATTGTTTTGTATTCTAATTCTGTCCTAAATAATCACAAAAAATAATAAGTAAGCTATTTACATTATTTAAAAGTAAAGAGAAAGATTGACTAAAAATATAATTTTTCATAAAGTAATGATATTGGAGCGTTTCTTCGAGCTACGGCTTATATTTAACGGATTTCTCTTTTGAAGTGGTTTTTTTGAATTTTATTTTAAAGGACAGAACACTAGATAGTATATAACTGAACACTTTATAAACTAAACTTTTTCTCTGAGTTTATATATGATTGGAAAATCAAAAATAACTCAAATAATTCAATTAAAACAACTCAAATTGTATCAATTCTGTTTTGATAGCTCTTATATCCATACCTACTTATTTACTTATAGTTCCGTAATAAGCACTTAACTTGCTATTCGTATACAATTTTTATTAGTTGTTGCTAATTAGTACATTTATGATATAGAGTACAAACAAACATAAATATTATTGCATAAGTTTTTTCTTCAAACATTCATTCACACATATGACACATTATTTACGGTGTCATGGCCTATTTTAGCATGATTTTAAAAACAAATTTTTGTTGTTGTCTCTTTCAATTTTATATACTTATATTCACATTAGGGTGCATCACTCTTCATTCAAAAAAAAAAAAAAAAGATTCGCTGTCGTTTTTCCATCGGATTTATACAATTTATTTTATCATTTATATTCCGTTGATAAACTGTTCCAAAATTTGTATGCATACCTTTTAAGTTGAAAAGCTCCTATCATTCGAGTTGACTTTGGAAAAAATATTTTTTAAAGACTACTGTTATGCCAAAAATATCGATTTTTGGAGGCCTTTTCAAAACGGTCGAGCTCACTTAAATCTCAATATTTTTCCGAAACATTTTGGTGGAAGTCTTTTAATATAATAAATTTTATAATTCCTGTGGAAAATCCTTGATTTTTTTTTGGTGAGGCACCCAAATACATACAGATGCGATCAACTAATGAGCAGCGAAATTCAAAATGAAATTGTTTGCCAAAATGTGCTTATTTATTTTTAACTAAATTATCAAATTTTGCTTTCGAAAACCTTACATCCTCCTATTCTGGCAAACAAAACTTATGTATCGTATATAAATTTGTTTTCTTTCTCTACTTTTAAACTATAGCTTTCTCCTATTTACACTTGGTTGAGTTTTTGTTAATTCTTAGTTAATTTATTTTTTTATTTAAATAATTCTATTGTGGCTATCACATTTCCTATACGCACACAATACTATATGTACAAATACAACTTACAATTTATAGCTCTCAGCCTATTCCATTAAATGTTTTGCATTTATTTTATACTTACATGAAAAATTGCATCAATGATCCTAGAGAGTAAAGCATGAAACTCTATTTTTTCGTATTGAGATAAACGTAATTTACTTAAAGACATAGAAAAACTGCTTGCTATAACTTTATAAGTAGCACATAAACATATGTATGACTACATGTATGTACATACATACACACCTATGCAATTTGAATTAATGACCGATTTTTTTTTGTACAAATATGTATCTAAATTTGTATACATAGTAGTTATTATAGAAATCAATAGCAAGCCATGGAGTATTTATTGTGTTTTGCTGTGCTTAAAAGTTAAATGTTTTTTTACAAACTAATAAATACAAAAAAATTATTACTCGCATCCTGCTGAAGTAATTCAGAGTTTGATGAAAGTGAGCTACATAAAAAATTAAATGTCTTTTGTGGAAACAGTTTTTGTTTTTTTTTTTTAATAGACCCGCAAATCTAATCTCTGAATACATAATTTCCAGAGAGCCATGGCCCTCAGCCTTCGTAAATTTTAATCAACTCTCCTTAAAAGCGTCTCTTTGCCCGACTGCATCTTGCTGTTTCTTCGCCCTCAACATACATGCGTAGAACTCTAATAGAATTTGCCATTCTCTTCTTTTTGCGCTTCTATCGGCCAGCAATCTTTCGTCTGTCACATCCCTTACACCATTCCCTTGGACATCATTCGCACTGTATTTTTCAACGCTTGCCGCTTATTACAAAACCAAATGCGTATCACTTCGCGTTCATAACCCAATTGGTGCGCCAAGCCGGTTATTTCGGTGCCTAAAAGAAGAAATAAGAAAAATTTCCATCATCAGCAACTCGCTTGTTCCGCTTGGTAAAGTGTGAAAAAAAAATAAAATTTTCGAAATTACCACTCACCCGATGGATGGGTATTGCGCTCGAAATGCGCATTTAGCAGCTCCAAAGCCTGTGGCGTAAATGACGTGCGGCGCTTGCGCTTCTTCGATGGCTCCACGCCTATGTAATCGGTTAAGTGGTTCTGTCCAGATTTATAACGATTCCAGTGGCTATCAACGTTGGAATTGTGAAGAGCAACAGTGAAAAACATGGAAGAAAAAAATAACAAACAAAAAAATCAGCTGTTAGTTAAAATCGAGTTCACGCTTGAGATCGCCGTCGTGTGGAACTTCTTCCATACTCTCACCTCTCTTCGGCCTCCTTCATCCAGCGTTCTAAAACTGGCTTGATTTTCTGCGCGCTCTTTGGCGTTATATCCAATTTCTCAAACCTGTGCGGTGATTTTATTTTTTTTTTATTGAAAGGAAAATTTGTTAGAATACTGAAGGCAGGATTTCAATGAAGATCTTTATAGGCAAATAAGTGCAAGCATTGCATATCTGTGTATGTGTGTGTGCTTAAGTATGCGCAAGTAGACTGAAAACTAGCTGTGGAAAATTTAAGTGCCAGGACATTGTCAAAAGTGCTAAAGGCAAGCAAATAATTACATCAATAAAATATATCTGCAACGCTGCGAAAATATTTCATTTCACACATTCTTTTTGATTTTACTTTTGTTAAAATACTAAACCTTTTGGCAATGCCCTGGCCAATATGGTATGACATGAGAGTTTGTTTAAAAAGAAAAATGAGATAATGACTTGATGGGAAGCAAGCAATTTGTTATGTAAAAGAAACTACAGCGCATACTTAGTTTTCTATATAAAACGGTAATTTCTTTGGGTTAGTAACTTCTGGGGTGTCCGTATGATGTGTTTTTTTTTTAGATTTATTAGTAAAAGTACACTAGTCTCTAGCTACAATTTGATGTTGTTAAGTTTATAAAACATAGTCGCATACACTGCTAGTTGACTGACATATGTATGTAAGTGTGTGTTAAGTATTTTAGATCCACGTACATGTTTTGCTGCTGCGACGACAGTTGGGCGGCGTACATCTGTGCGGCAAGTGCACTGTTGTCGTTTTTTTGTTTTGTATTTCATTTGAGTTTTAATAATTGCGTAGCAAAAACGAATAGAATAAATAAAAATATTTTATAATTTTTTTTTTTGGTATACAACTTATTGTGTTTTCAAGGATTTTCTTTTTTTTTTGTAAACTTAAAATCACATTACACTTAAATGTCCTGGCACAGTAAAAATTCCAAAGAGTTTTCAGAACACTGTAATTATTTTGAAATATTTTTTTTATCGGGAAATGCCCTTGTGTAGATAATGTATTTAATTTTGTTTTTTATGTCACCGAACTACCTAAGCTAAATTTGTTCGTATGTGCTGGAATTTATCAACTTTTTCTTCGCTTGCTTCACATAAAGTTGAAAATCAAAATTTTTGGTTGTGATAAACTTCCGAAATTCTAGGTCGATTTTAACCAAATTTAGTTGTAAATATATTTTTGCTACAAAAGGAAACATATACACCTTTTTAAGAGTTTCAGTAATAAATAGTATCTATAATACTACTTTTGTTTAAAGGACTTTAAAAGAAAGAAAAAATTATCTAGAATTTAAAACAAATGGTTTTTTGGTTCCCAAGGACGAACATGTATTGCAAATGCCCTTATATTTTATTTAATTTTTTATTGAAATAAAGTTGGAAGGACGAAACTCCAGGAAATTGTTGTTTGTATATTAATTAGCCCTTAAAATATTTTTTTTTGTAAATTTACATATACAGTGAAACACAGTCATTTTTTGTCCGCCCAAGAGAGATGTCCGCTCAATTGAAGGGAAGCTTATTTTAGAACTTTTTAATGCTTTAATTAATTGAATAGTCACTATTTCTTATTTGAATAAAAGATATTGATATTACATCGTTCAAACAAAAATGTGCATGTATTTTTTCAAAAGTGCATATTTCATTTATGTGCGTAAGTACATATCGTCGCTCGAATAAAGAAACAGTGTAAATGCCACATACACTATTATTCGATAATTGCACCATTGGATAGACAATCCTTTAATCTATTAGAAAAATCTTTAGTTTTCTTAAATATCTCTTTGGCTTACTAATTTATTCCCGAAAAATGAAATGGTATTTGTATGGTTTGTAATGGTTTATAAAAACTTCCAATTCGTTTTTTTCAAAACTATACTTTTCATGTTACACTATTTCATTATTCCAGCGACGATATCAAGTAATAACAAATTAAAAATAAATACAACATTTCAGTCTACATTTCAGTAAACTACAAAAACCATAGATTCAGTGTCAGTACCTTTTTCATCAATAGTTTTCATGTTTTTATCAGTAACAAAATCTAACCAGAAATCTAAATTTTTGCTCCATGTATTTATTATTATCTATTGTTATAAATTCATCAGAATTGGAATTGGATTCTCCAAGGGTTTCTGATAATTCAAATAACGAACCTAAACCACTACGCAAACCAAACTAAATGTGTGCATAAACATCACATGTTATGCGGGAAGTCCCCCAATTTCCATTTAGTAGTCCGCCTATGAGGAGTTCGCGTCCGCTCAACGGAGGTTTTTGTTTGATTTGTTATGAAAAGAAATCTTAATGTCCGTTGATAAGAAGTTCGCGTCCGCTCAATAGAGGTTTTTGTGTCAATTTTATGCAAAATAACTGTCCGCTTAAGAGTGAGTAATTTATTCAGAAATTTATACTTAAATCTTGGTATAGGAAAAAATTTCCGCCCAAGGGAGATGTCCGTCTAATAGAGTGGTCCGTTAGGAGAGGTTTCACTGTATTCAAAATTTTTCAATGATATTCAAGGATAAAATTTTAAAAGGACATTTTCACTACCTAATCGTCGTTATGCATGAAAAATATTAATAGTTTTTTATTCCACAGAATTTTCTCTTTCATTTGGTACCCATATTCCATCACAAAAAGGAGAAGGTTATCAATTCGTCGGAATATTTTTATTTTTATCTTTATGTATGTTATTCTATTTATAATTATTTTTTTTAAAGGAAAGGTATTACCTCACAGGTAGTCCCATACTAATTTGGTTTAAATCCGACCATTGGATCATGAGGAAATTAACGGTAATCTTAAATTTTTATATGAGAATTGAAGTCGGTTTTGTTTTTTGTAAAGCTCTTGCTAAAAATCGACTATCCGGCTGTACGGTTAGTCGACTAGTCGATTAGCAACTTTTTTGTCGGTTGGTAGTCGAATAGCAATTATTCGATTAGCCGCTCAAATTCGACTAACCGTTCACTTTCGACTAACCACTCACTAACGAATAGTCTGAAAATCGACTAACCGACTTTATTCGAATATAAAAAAAAACAATGTTTACGGTAAGAAAACAACTAGTCGAAAAATCGAAATGGACGAAAAAAGTCGACTAGTTGCTAGTGAACGGTTAGTTGAAAAATTCGAAAGGAAACGGTTATTCGGTTAAGTGCAGTCGATTATTGAAAGCCTTTTTCTATTCGACTTATCGATTAGTCGACTATCAAGAGCTCTAGTTTTTTGCTTAAAAATTACTTGTTTTAAATAATTTTTTGAATAAATCATTTCTTTGTAATTTCAAAGTCATTTAGAATGTGAATTCAGAGAAAAAGTTTTTCCCCTGCTATTGCAAGATAAAACCTATATCGGTGTATCCTGTTCTTATGCCACATTGGCGTTAAACCGGCCATATGTAGAAAAAAAACGACGCGTCCAGAAAACTTTAGAGAGATTGTATTTTTTCAAATCAAAACCTGACTTAAAAATAAACAGTACACGTACTGTTGAAGATAACTTTCATGTAAATCTGGTCGTATGCCTGTTCAATTCCTAACGCTTTTCCTTGTAACGGCAAGAAAATTCCATTTAAGCAAATGCGGATAGTTTTTGCTCGTGTCTATCAAACAATTTTTACTTCGTGTCTGGTCCTTGGCTGATCAGTAAGAGGTCCTGTTCCTACGAATCCCTTGCAGCTCTTTTCACCCGAGAATATCTGCCACTTCATTGCTTTTAAGCCAGAAACAACTACGAAGATTTATGTCACAAAATCACACAAACCCAGAACAAAAACTACAAAAAAATCAAAAAATAATCAGCGACATTACAGGGACTTTGAGAGATGTTTTTTTTAAGAACTTTATGAATGTGTTCTAAAAACTCTTGTTTCATAAATTTTTTTATGTAGCTTTGTTATAATTTCTTTTATATTTTTAAAAATAATTTCCTTATAATTTACTCATCTCACCTGCATATGGCGCTTTGGCTGTACGCTGGTCCCTCAGTCACCGACAATGCCTGACCCACTTGTGTCTGGGTGAGACCCAACGATAAGCGGCGCAGTTTGAAAGCTTTGGCGAACTCTTTGATCTCATCCAAATCGATGCCTTCAACGACATTTGTGGTCGCCTGATTGATGGTCGGCTCATCTATGAGGCCAAAAGAAGAGTGATAGAGGAAAAGAAAAAAAAAAACAAAATTAGACTTGGCGAAAGGAAATGCTACTTAAAAATATTTTAAACTAATATACTTAGATACATATAAATACAACGACTAGAGCTAAGCTAATGCTTATAAAATATAAAAGTTATTTAACGGTTATTGCTATTAAACTTTCTTATATAAAAAGAAGTGAACAGGAAAAACCAATTTGAAATTAGATATATTAAAAGTAATTTGCAGTTGTATCAAAATGATTGCATCCTTTACTTGTTGCGTAACTTAATTTTCTTCGTAAAACCAAAATCTTATTTGCGCCGCCAAAAAGTGTAAAAAGTCTTGTTTTATATCTAGCAAGTTTATGCCTAAATCGTTGTGACACATTGGCAAAGGCGTTGCAACATAAATGAGACATTCGACAGCAACGTTAATATCCAGTTACCAGAATAGATAAATTGAAGTTTCCAAAAACATAACAAAATGTTACAACAACTTCCTTAAAGGCGACTACACAGCGTTAGTTATACATACGGTGACCAGATTTCTGTGGACAAAATGTGGATTTTTGTAATGCATCGAATCCGGACATGGAATGTTGTTTTTTTTTTTTTAATAAATAGACATACCATCTTTTAATACAGTTTTATTTAAAACAAACAACGAGAAAAAAACTTTAAAAATTTGCTAAAAATGTATACACAAAATATATAGGGTGGTGAGAATGTCAATAGGAAGGAGACATTTAAGCAAGTTTAGGCACTTTTCTTTGTTTAAATTTTTTTTATTATTTTTCATGAAAATATCCTTAGCTTACTATCTAAAAAGACTATGTAAATCAAAATTATTAGAATTTTTATATATGCTGATAAAAATTTTAAACATTTAAACAGATTTTTTAGAATTGTTTTGAGTATGATTTTTGGTAACTTTAATGTTCGCGTGTTTTCTTCCATACAAAGTTTCTTCGACAATTTTTTTGTATGGAGAAAATGAGTAAATAATACCTTCCACAAAAAAAAAAAAATACCAAACATCAACGGTAAGTCCACGCTACTTAAAATTTGCACTTTGATTTGAATGGGCTACAAAACTGTATACCCGAAATTCTTCTAAGAAATCTAATTAAAAAGCTCAAAATTTTGTTGAAACTTTTTCGAATTTAGCTAATTTTCATAATGAGCTACACTTTCATAAAAAAATAATAAACAATAAATAATCGAAATAATATATAATGTAACTGCCAAAGAATGTTAAAATGTCTATTCCCTATTAATATCTTTGCCAGAGTATCTACAGTTTATATTTTTCATATCCATGATTTTTTCGAGGGAATAAGTATTTCACTAAACTTAAGTTAGAATCGCTTCATGAAAAAAAACTTAACAAATAATTATAAAAACCTTAAAATAAATTCCGGCAAGAGTGATAGGCTGCAATATAGGGAGAGTACCAGTTTGACCGAATAAAACATAACCAAAGATCATAGAAAGTAAAGACGCTGTTTATGTTTATGGCTCGCTTATATTCTATGTTCTTCGTGATAACGAAGTTTGTAAGAAAAATTGCTTTTGGTTCAGAATACAAGGAGACTCTTTTTAAATTAATAAAGAAAACACTGAAAATCGGGGCATAATTGGTACAAATATGAAAAATCGGTGCACTTATACGCCGCGACTTTTAAAAAATATTCATGGGGACAATTCTCTCCAAATCGGCACTGTCCCGCCAAAATCCGTACGAATGGTCACCGTAGCTATACATTACTTGAATGCAAACTGCCGGTAGCGTGTAAGAACTTTAACCAAAGCATTGCAAACGCTGCTGAGCCAATTTATTGCAGAGCGGAGTGTGCCAGCGTGCGCGCATTCATGTATCTACATACTCGTATGTCGTATGCGTGTTTGTGCGCTTTTCTTAGCGCCGCAGCAAAAGTTTTGTGACTTTTAATAGACACCTGTGCCTCTCAACTTCACCACCTTTTCAGCAGCTATCAAATTGAAGTTATCTACGGAAGGCAACAGCCAATAATATTTGACTAGTAAATAAGACTTGCGAAAACTGACGCAAGTGTTGCACGGGGATAATGCGATTGTATGCACAAATAGAAATCCGTGTGTCAGCCATACGGGTGCGTGTATGTGTTTTTGCTTTTACCTGCTCACAGTCTCATAAAATATGAATTATTCTGTTGAAGTTTTCAACGGTTCTACTCGCTTGTCGCTACTCCGCTGCTTTTGTTGTGTAAGTGTAGATATTTGTTGGAGTCATTATATGTGGAGATAAATAAACTTGCATGCATAAGCTTTTTCCTTTGTAAATATATTGCATTTTAAAGTTGTTCGTCAATCAACGGGTTCCTCAGCCGAAAATGGGATTTTTCTTAAAACTTTCAGTGACTTCTGTAGGCAGCTTTTCAACACCAAAGTTTGCAAGTCAGCCAAAAAATTGTACAAATTTGGTTAATTAGTGTTACAAAGTTTGTTAAAAGACCAGCAAGCAGCCCATTTCCTGAGAGGAATAATTGTATTGTTTTATGGCAATTTTAAAAAGGAGGATGGTCACCACCAATAATGTTAGTCTGGAGATAAACCAAAAATAACTCTTGCTAACAGTTGCTACTTTGGACTCGGTAGGCGGTATGCGCTCTCTCGACGAATAAAAATCACGCTCGACAAATCTCTTATCATGCCCGTCTTTTAGTTATATGGCGAAGAAACTTGGACGATGTCTAACAAAGATGAGAAGACCCTGTTCGCGTGGGCAACAAGTACCAAAGAAGATGGCAAGACGAGCTGTACGAGCTTTTTAACCGACTTCGAAAAAAGGAGGAGGTTATCAGTTCGTCGGAATATTTTTATTTTTATTTACTTTTTTTATTTTTTATTTTTTTTGTGTATGTTACCGCATAACTTTGGACCATATATATATTTTTTATATGAGAGTTCAGGTCGGTTTTTTTTTGCTAAAAATTACTTGTTAATGACATGGCCATAGTTGAGCACATAAAAAAAAACGACGATTGCGCTGGCCTGGCCATGTTGAAAACATCCTTCAACTCTGGGTCTATGTGTGGACAACGAAAGCAACACCCACTAAAACATTGGAGGACCCAGAAAAACCTGTCTGCACTCGATATGAGAAACTGGCGCAAATTCGACCAGCAAAAAGGCAATCAATCGGAGAAGATTCTTGGTGTCGGCCTAAACTGACCAAATAAGAAGAAGAATAGGTCTTTGAGCACCTTTCTACTTCCGTCGAAAGGTGGGCCTAACATGTGTTTTGCTTTAATGTTGATTTTGGCGATATGTTTGTCCAGAGGGGCGAACGACAACAACAAAATCAACAATTATTGGCGACCAAGTGTTGCTTCTGCTACAAATGTGTGTAACGAATTTGAGCTTCTTTAAATATGTCAGCTGTAGTGAGCTTTGTAAGGCACTATGATTTCCCTAGTATGATACTACTTAAATACTATCTAGTTCACAAAAAGTTTAGCACCGCTCGAGGTAGAGAACAGACTTGAACGCAACCTCATATTTAAAAGCAAGTAGAGGAAAAGTCGAGTTAGGCGAAGTTCGTTGAATTTTATTCCACTAAGTGATTCATTATTTTATTAATTGCTTTAATTTCTTTCTACATACTCTGCATGTACAGTCAGTCAATAAAGTTTAGGTACAGCGAATTTTTTACAATACGGGCAACTATTTTTAAATATTTTATTTTTCGCTGATTTTTTATAAAAATATGGTTAATTCTACAACAAAAACCCCAAAAATTAAAGTTTCAAACCTTGTGCAAAATTAAAGAAAATTCTACAAAATTCCATTCAAATGTTGCACTTTTTATTTACGCTCTCTAGTAAAAAAGTTGAGCATGTAGTTTTTAATCCATTCAATTTTAGTTTAACAAAGTGCAAGTTTGAGGTGGCTAGGATTTACCATTGATTTTTAGAAATTTTTTTGTTGGAGGTGTCGCGCATTTTCTCCATATAAAAATATAAAACATTTAAAAAATAGTTGCCCATATTTTAAAAAATTCGTTGCACCTAAACTTTATTGACTGACTGTATGTACATTTGGGCGGGTCAAAAAACATGCCATGTTATTTTAATTCCATATTCTAGAAAATAAGTCTTTGTTCTCTGCGACAATGTCTTCAGTCTACGGAATGAGCTTCAAAAATTGAAAATAAGATTTAACAACGACTTGTGTAGATCAAATTCGGAACTTATTTCTTATCATAAAGGCGTAAAAAAATTAATTAGGCAAATTAAGAGTAAGTAACATGAATATTTTAATCAATAAATAAATAAATTAAGTAGGAAATAAAGGGAGAACCAAAATTTCTTTTCTAGAATAAGGTACTAAAATAGTACCCTTTAATATCTATAAAATTTTAGTATCAAACATGTTGTGTGTTTCGACCCGTCCTAATGTACATACAAAGGTAGTCCAAAGCCGTAGTGCACACTGAAAACACGAGTATGTGGCCTAAGCAGACAAAAAACAACTAAAAGAAAACAACTTAAAATTATTGCACGAATTTCATAGATGTATTGCCACCAACTAAAGAATGAAAGGTGAAACCAAAATGAAAAATTTGCTTAGTAGTTTAGAGAGTTTGGTTAGCCAAAATTCAGTAGCACCTCCCCCAATTATCGACAGCATTTGAATTTTGACCTTTTTCGCCGAGTTGCAACTCGCGAAAATGGAAAGAGTTCGAAGTGGTAAAAATGTGAATGCGGAAGTTACAAAAAAAAAATCTGCTAAAACAAGAATACAACCCGGCAGTAGAAGCAAGTTTTTTCAGGACTATACCATTTGAGGCTGGCACTAGTGAGTTAAATAGTTTTACTAATTTTAGCACAGATTTGATTTACGATGCAAATGTAGCTAGTAAAGTTAATGTGTATACCTACGTACTATATATGCGTGTGTATATTGTACGAAAAAGTCCGAAATGAAGTCGCCGCACTTTTCTTTCGCTTTAACTGCGTGAAAATGAGTAGAGTGAAATTTTTAGGTACAGTACTAAAGATTTTTACCACAGGGAACATTTTGAATGATTTTATTAGCAAATCAGCAATAGAGTATGCTAACATATGTATGTACATACACGCATAGTTGTAGATATAATGCGCTATTCTGTGATGAAAATTTCACGTTTTTTATTTTATTCTTTTTCACTTTGTTGATTTTTGTTTTTTTCAGCCAAGTGGCAAATCGCTGGTCAAAAGTGGGTGTTACATGTGTACACCAGTGATGGACGATAGTTAGAAAATTAAGCAAAAAACGGTAGCAGAGCACATAGCTGGAGATGCGAGGCAGAACTGCAAGCAGCGTGCGGTGCTGGGCCAAGGTGTGGTGGTAATTTATGAGTGGCCAAATATGCATTTGTGTATGATTGCAGGTAAAGTATACGCCACACAATTTTAAAGAGAAGCGAGGGCAAATTTGCCGCATAAGTGCAAATATCTTAGCATGTGTAGGTGTTTGTATGATGTGTGAGTGAATGTGCGCAATATGCGAATGTACCTACATATGTACATATGTATGCAAAGAATTCGCTTTTAATTGGATCAATAATCGGATACTTTTTGCTGCTTTTTTACCCAATTAATGGCGAATATATTCAGCATATTACGGTATATGTAATTTCGTATCAGCCAATGCATGTATGAGTGTGTAAAAGTACATATATCTATGTATGTACATTAAACGGCATCACCAAAACAAGTTGCGGGTTTTCCGCCGGGATTAAAAAATTTATTATATTTTATGACGTCCACCAAAATATTTCGGAAAAATATTAAGATTTAAGTGAGCTGGACCGATTTTAAAATACCTCCAAAAATGGAGTTTTTTATGAATAAAAATAGTTTCTTAGAAACGTCTTTGAATAAAAATCCCCTCAAGTGACAAGACGGTTTAAGCTTAAAAAATTTGCATAAAAATATTCGAAACAAGTAAGAAAGTCTAGGTTCGGGCGGAGCCGAACATTAAATACCCGGCGCAAATATTAAATATAATATTATGTTTTTTCACCTTTCCGAAACCTACCGCTAGATGGTAAGCCGGGGTGTATCAATTTTGAGTAAATTAACGTCCTTCAATTTCGAAATATTGAAGTTTCAAGCATTTCTGAAATTTACCGTTATATAAAAAGCGGCCGTAATTTTAGTCCGATTTCAATAATTTTCAATGCTTTGCTTTCATGTGGCAAGCACAATAACCACACCGAGTTTGGTACAAATTGGTAGAACGGTTACCGATATACATATATGTGATCATAAGTGGCCGGTGTCCCGCCCACTTTCCAAAATTTTACCATAAACGTATTTCTTGGTAAAGAATTGTTGCAAGCATCAATTTTGAATAAATTAGCTTTAATATTTTCTGATTTATCGAAGATTTTGCATTTCTCTAAATTACCGTTATATGCGATGTGGGCGTGGTTATTGTCCGATTTTAAAAATTTTCGGCCATTTGGTATGCTGTGCGAAGGCCAACAACTGCGCCAAGTTTGGAAGAATTTGGTGCAGCGGTTCCTAAGATATACACATGTAACCATAAGTAGGCGTGGCTATGCCCATTTTCCAAAAATGTAAAATATTCTTATTTTTCGTCTAAAAATAATTGTAAATATCAATTTTGAGTGAATTATCTTCAGTAGTTACTAAAATATCGCAGTTTTCGTATTTCTGGAAATTACCGTTATATGGGAAGTGGGCGTGGTTACAGTCCGATTTCGCCCATTTTCAATACCAACCTACCTTGGATTAAGGGAAACCTACATACCAAATTTCGTTGAGATATCTCAATTTTTGCTCGAGTTATCGTGTACACGGACGGACGGACAGACGGACAGTCGGACAGACGGACGGACAGACAGACATGGCTTAATCGATTTATTTTTTCATCCTGATCATTTATGTATACATTTGTCTATATCTATCTCGATTCGTTTTGGCTGTTACAAACAACCGTTATGTGAACAAAATTAATATACCCTTGTGCACAAGTGCGCTCGGGTATAAAAAATTGTCAACGGAATCGTAATAATAACATTTTTGTTGCTGTTATTTTAACTTTTTTCAAAGATTGGTATAAGAAAAACTTGAATAACTGAACCTAAACTATTCCAATTTAGACTTATGGGATCTCAGTAGAAAGGTATTTTCGCACTCTTTTTATTTCTTTGCTAATAAACTCCTTCAAAGGATGAAAGGGACAGGTAGGATGTACGAGCGTCAATCCGAGTTGAATTAAAAAGTTTTGGTATGTGAAACAAATTGGGATACGAATGACTTTTTTCCACAGAAATAATAATATCAACTAAGTTCCCATAAGTCTAAATCAGAATAGTTTCGGCCCAGTTATTAAAGTTTTTCGTAAATCAATCATTGAAACAAGTTAAAATTCAGCATCAAAAATCTCATTTTACGATTTCGTTGAAAAGATTTTTAAACTTTTTTTTGCAGATTTTTTAAGTTTAATCTGAGTTGTCATCTCAGGCGATGTTTTTCAAGAAGTTCTTTAAGAAACTATTTTTATTCATAAAAAACTCCATTTTTGGAGGTATTTTCAAATCGGTCCAGCTCGCTTAAATCTTAATATTTTTCCGAGATATTTTGGCGGACGTTTCAATTATAATAACTTTTGCAATCCGGGCGGAAAAACCGCCGCTGATGCTGTCTAATGTACATACATACATTTAGAATTGAATCGAAATTATGTAAATAAGGCGAAGTTTGTTATAACAAAAATAAAGAAAATAAGTCAATGTATCGAGTTTTGAAGGAATCTTAAGTCAAACAAGTGACCACAGGTTGATTTTTTTTAATTTTCATAATGTTTTTCGGGCGGGAGACCATAAAATTTATGTTTGTTTCATTGAGTTTTGTTAAGTTTTACATATGCAGTAATTTACAAACGTTGCACACCAAGCTTTCAGAGCAATCTGAATAGTAGAGAATTGTTAAAGAATTCCTGAAGAAATTATTATTTCCCTTTCCGATTTTTTGCCGAATTTTCTAAGATGAAATGTATGTACATACATGTATGTTCATACAAGGTGGTGTTACCGGAGCAGCTGATTTAAAGGCGGTGATTGTTAAAATGATATGATTTTTGTAAAAATTTTGTGTTTTGATTGTCATCGTGCGTATAGTTTGTTAGTGTAGTTTTTGTTTGTGCTGCCGCTATCACTTTCTATGAATTCGCCTTGAAATATATTGTGCACCCTTGGATTCGTTTTCAAAATCTCGGAATAAAATCTGTGTGTCAGTATTTTTTCATAACTTTCTTTAAGAAATCGTACAGAAATTTCTTTACGAGTTCGTGCCAACCATTTCATATGATTTTCCTTGAATATTCGTAAATAAATCGTTACGGACTCCCGATATTCTCAAAGATTTCGTAAGTACTGGGAGACTGCCTTTCTTTAATTTTGAACTAAAAACAGATTGCGATCATATTGTACTAGCTTCATAAAGGAGTATAAGACCCTAAAATCACGCTTACCACTCTGAAATTATGCCTCAGGGAGCATTATTTCACTGCTCGTTTAGAAAATCTCACACTTCAGTCCTAAGCGAGTTATAAAGGGAAGGCAAAAACCGAAAAATCTCCTTTATTCCTAGCTTATTGAGATCTCCCTTCAAGTTCTAGTAGAAATATGGAAGTGACGATTTTATTTATTTTTATTTTCCACACCAAATTTATAAAAATGTATTTAGTTAATTCGAAAGCAAAACCCACAAGAATCATTTTTTTTTTTTTTTGTTTTCATAGAGAACTCGGAAAAATGCAAGAAATTTTCATCGAAATTTAAAATTTTTCAATTCGATTTTCAGAAAATTTTTGAGCACGCAGTTTTGTAGCCCAATAAATTTGAGTGCAAAAAATTGCAAGTTTAAAGTCGCTCAAAAGTTACCGTTGATTTTCGGGAATTTTTTTCGTTGAGGCTGTTGCATACCTTCTTTCATATAACAAAAAAAAATATTGTGTTCATCAAGTGAAACTCGCAATCATTATTCGATCCGCAATTTAAAACTATGAAACGCGCTTAATTGCTTCTTAAGCACCGCAAACTGCATTGCTTTAAATTAAATTTCGTAAGAAATAAGAAGTCACGCCTTTGCTATCAGCAGCAAATAAGCTGTGTTGCACCAAACTTCCGAAAAATAATTTATCGCCAAAGTGCATCAAATATTCCGGGGACAGCGCTGCGAGCAACGACGAAGAAGACAACGACAACCAAGGCAGTGCCGCCTTCCGTCTTTCCTCGCGCAGCTTTACTGCGAAGAAGGCATATTTAAATGTGCGCATAATTCATGCAACACGCGTTATGCCGCACAGCAGCTACGTAGAACAACACAACAGCTACTAGCGGCGGCACAATGTTTGCCTTAATTACTCCTAATTGACGCTTACAAAACTTGAGCGCGCGTCAAGGCGAGTCACAACAGCATTCGCGCGCTGGCATCAACCGAAGGACCTCACTCTATGCGCCACCTTTATTTCCGACACTTGTTTTGCATTCAGTAGTGGCAGGAGTTTGTTTTTGCATTTAATGACACATTTCACTTGCAAACTAAGTGTAATAATAATGACAATAGCAACAACACAAACAGCTGCCTTGAATAACAACTATGCATTTTGTTTTATTAGTGCCGCCGCCGCCGCCGCCGTCGCCGCACAAGCTCCAATTTCCAACTATTGCCACTTGTAGTTAGTCGCTTTTCCGTGTTGCTTTCGCTTTATTGCACTTATTATTGTTGTTGCCATTGATGCTACTAATGTTGCCATAATACCAAGCGAATAGCATGTCAGCCTCCGACAAATGTTGCTATTGTGTTGCATGCAACGCGGCAATATGCAATAAGCTTCGGTGGCAAGTACTTACAAGCATGCAGCCAGTTGTTGCTTAATTACTGCGCATCGCAACAACAAAAACAAGAACAAGAATAAATAAGCGCACCGTAGGGACTATCAACCTATTTGTAGGCAGTAGTGGGGTTTTAGGGAGACGACTGAGAGTCGCGCTGTGGAGACAATATGATGCTTTGCATAATACTCGTACTCTTGCATTAATAAATAAATCAAACGGCACTCATCGACTTGCAAGAAGCTTACACAAGTTTATCCTTGCCGCTGAAGACAAATAGTAATTACAACAGAAACGTTGGTGGTGTTATTGCCACAGCATTGTAAAGGATTGTGGTGCGTAGAAATAAGCTGTTGGCCCAAAGGGGAAAACAGGGGCCTGCATACAAAGTTTGGAATCGCGTTTGATATATCCTCTTACCCTTATTCGCATCTTCGAGCCGTCGGTATACCATACTTGGAGCCCTTCATCAGTCATAGTTATTATCGCTTCACCGCAGTCTCCTTCAGGAATTCTGACCTTGTAGGGTTTGTAGAAGAATAACTCAGGATCATCCAGGAATGGTTTGAGAACCTCTAAATGATCCCGAAGATCTCCATCTTTCATGCTGCCACGTATTGGGTTGTGTAGCCGTGACGTGCTCTACCAAGCCTATTTTTCAATCAGAATGGACAAAGGAGGTATGCCTGCAATGACACCGAGGGCATCCGTTGCAGAGGTGCGCATAGCTCTTATAATGGTCACGCAGGCCAGCCGGTGCAGCTTGCTCAAGGTGCCACCAGCGTGTACTTACCATGAATTCCCTGATAGGCATAAAACGCCCTTTTAGCCTTGTTGATAACATTCGAGAGATGTGAGCTCCAATTGAGCCTTTTGTCCGGAGTTACCCTTAGATATTCGCCTCTTCGAAGAGCTCAATCTCTTTCCCTGCCAAGGTCTAAATACAACTTCTGTGGTGCTTATATTTAGTAGATCGACCTCGGAACTGTATACCAAAGCTTCATTGCTATTTTGTTAGGTCCTATTTCGGAGGTAACCTCAGTGATTCTCTCTCGGATTAGCTACTATATTATATTATATATTTTATTTATGGTGAAATCCGAAGATTCCATAAGATTTTTTAAGTTTTTTAAGGAAGTGGATTGGTCACTGACTTATCTGAGTATTTGTGGACAATGGTGCGAACTCATGTATAGGAGCTAGGGATTTACTCGATCGGAAAGTCGCCGTAGCCGATGAACATCGAGAACACCACAAATTAGAGGAGCAGATCGACCACCAACCACTTACGTAGAAAAATGTGAAATCTCCAAATATTCATTCATTTTTTAAAAGCTCAGTGACAAGCACGACATATTGTTGCATAGTGAAAGCTTCCTTAACTTGAAAATCCTTATTGGGTTAATTACAAATATGTTTCGAAAACTTTTCTTTAATTTACAAATTAGTTTATCTGCAAAATATTCGCTGTGTGCAATAACGCATCTTTCAAGTTATGGCTTACTTTCTAAGCATCAAGTGAAACTTTTGGAAATTTTTGTTACTTCCTTCATACATATTTATGTCACTAAATGTGCATGACTAGGTTGCAGGCAAGATAATAAAGTTGTGATTTTACTACCATTACGTATAATTAAAATTTGATAGAAATGGTAAAGCAGGAAATTTTCAACAAGAAGTAAATTTTTGAACTCAACAGGTAACAAAATCATAAGTATTCGGAAGCCATTTCACACACAAATATTTCATTATTAATACGAGAGTCTGCATATTCTAAAATAAGTTACACAAATCTAAAATAACGAGATCTACTAACTACGTTATTGGTTTCTTCGAGGTACATATGAATGCGGCATATTAGGAAATTTTCAGCAGACCATTCGTCTTTGCAAATTCAATAGCATTTCCTCCAATTTTGGATTTCCTAATATGCCCAATACCTGACTTAAATTTAAAATTTGTTAGTAAGGAAAAAAGAGTCGATCTTTACTCACTCGGTGAATCCAATAGAAGATCATGTGCGCCACTCGAACCCTCTGTGCCGTTGGGTGAAAGCTGTGATGATGGCTCTCCGTGGCCACTGCCGCCGGTCCTTTCGCGCTCACGCTCTCGTTCTCTATCACGCTCTCTATCCCGTTCCCGTTCCCGATCGCGGTCACGTTCACGTTCCCGTTCACGCTGAAGTACAGCACTGGTCGTCGGGCTGAGCTTCATCGGATGCATGCCATGGTGTGGATGATGCACCAAATGTGAGGCGGCGGATGAGGTGTTTATGCCTAGCGCCGATAAACTGGGCCCCGGCGATGTGGGCGAGGCAGATGAAGCACGTATCGCTGTTGCCGATGGTGGACCCAATGATTTTGTTATGGTCAATTCACCATTCGCAGAGGCGGAGAGTCTGCAAAGAGCCGAAGTGAAGTGATTATTAATTATTGAGTCAAAGCATTTTTATATTGTTCATGAAACAAATGAGAAGACACTTTACAAGTATTTAAATTTAATGCAAGCTACTAAATAGTATTTATATCAATTAGCAAATGTTCTTCTTTTGTTGTTGAGCATCAATTTCGCAAGAGAAACAAAAAATTTGTTCATTCATCCCGATCATTAAAAGTTTTCGTGCCTCTGGGGCGCATGTTGCACTGGCTCCTCACCGAAGTCTAATTAGCGCATCGTAACTTATCTTCCACACTCACTTACTAACTCACCAGAGTCCCTCAACTATGGTGCTGCGCTTTTTTTTTGCTGTTGTAGTTATTGTAAAGTGTCATATCATGCAACGAAATATTTTCTGTGCTTACCTATTCATGCTATTGAGCATGTTAGTCGCTACAGACGTCGCAGATGAGGGTGGGCCACTGACACCCATGCTCATCGATGCACCGCCAGCGCCTCCGCCTCCAACACCCATGCCCAACGGAGATGTTCTCAGTCCGCCGCCGCCATTTCCCAGGAAATCATGTTCGTGTGGTGAGCTCATATTGTGTGCATGCTGGCCGTGTTGCTGCTGTTGTTGTTGCTGCTGCTGATGTTGATGATGATGCAAGTGCGTTATGGCTGCCACCGCTGCCGTAGAGCTGGGAGAGGGCGAGTGGGTGCGAAACAATTGACCAGCACTGTTGCGCAAAGGAGATGAATAGCCTCTTTCGTTGGATGCCGCTGACGTTGAAGACGACAATACGCCGGTGGCCGATGACGCGGAAGCCGAACTTGTTGTGACGCCTGCCGTCAGCGAGTGTGGATGATGGTGCAAATTGTGGTGGGCCTGATGATGGCCTGGATGATGCAGGTGTGAGTGATGCCCGTGTTGGTGATGTTGATTGCCACTTGCGGATACCGATGCGGATGCTGTTGACGCCGCTGCATTGACTGAGGAGGATGCGTTGGAAGTGGAAGAGCTCAGAGCGTTCGAAGTGCAGGAGGAATTGCGACCAAGGGCTGTCAATTGTGTTGAGCTAGCACCGGCGCCGAGTGTCGGTGAAGAAGAACGTCTCAAATGCTCGCGGTCACGTTCCCTTTCGCGTTTCAAAGAATGGTGACTGAGATTGATGCCACCGCACACGCCACTACCGGGTCCATTATTTAGCGAGCCGCCGCTACGAGTTGGACTGCGTTTGATGTGTGTCTCAGTGCGTTCGGAGCGGTCACGTTCGCGTTCTCTTTCTCTATCTCGTTCACGGTCACGCTCCCTTTCTCGATCTCTTTCCCGCTCCCTGTCCCTGTCGCGGTCTCTATCACGATCGCGCAGCGCCATTGTGCACAGGGAAGTGGACGAGTTAGGCCGCGGCGATGGCGTTGAGTTGGCCTGGTGACCTGAACCCATCCCGCTACCGCGATGGTGGAAATGATGGTGGTGCGAACTAAGTCCAGGCGGCGGTGAAGCGTTCACATCCGTTGGCATATGCATTGAAGCGGATGCAGAAGATGAGCCCGCTGACTTGCCATGCTCGCGGTTCGGCGAGGCGAGCTCATCTGCGGGATGTCGTAGCGAGTGGTGGGAGTGTGGATGCAGTGAGTGATGGTGATGATGACGCGGTGACGTTTCTTGTTTGATGTGCAGCTGCTGTTGCAGATGGAAGGCGGCTGCTGCAGCTGCAGCCGCTGCTGCTGCGGCGGCTTTTGTACTTGACGATGAACTAGAGGCGCTTGAACGCTCACCCCCACTACCAATGCCATGAAGGGGTGGAGATCTGGCTGGCGAATGACCACCGCGTTCAGTGTTGCGCGCTGCTGCAGCTACGGCCGCGGCAGCCAAATGCAAATCATTTGACAAAGCATGCGTATGTGCAGCAAGGTGATGATGCGGCGGAGGCGGCAGGTGAGCGAGATGTGGCGGTTGCGACGCCGATTGCTGGTCAGCGCGCTGCTGCTGCGCTTGATGCATTGCTTGGGGGGAGGCGCGCAGGTGATGATTTGCTGCAGCAGCCGCGAATAGTTCCGGGTGTAGCGCGGCCAACAGCTGCTGAACGCTACTCGAGAATAAGTTCGGCTTGAGTAAATTCGTTGGTGTTTGTGCTAGTTGGGGCAGGGTTGAGGCGTGCTGGAGAGCGGCTAGCGCTGGTGGTAGCGGAGGCGGTAAGAGCGCTTGTTGCTGCTGCTGTTGCTGGAATGACGCGAAGGCGCCGAAATTCTGCAAAAACTGCTCGTTGGTGTTAATCTGCGGGCTGACCGGAATTGTGAGTATGGTCTGAACGGCAATGCCTGGAAACGCGGAGTAATAGTAAGAATTAATAAAATTTCAAATTTTTGATAAAACAAGATACAGCTTTAAGCTAATTAAAAAAGGTAGTTCTGGGAGGATATGCTTTTTGCTAGAGGACATTAGTCAATTTTATCTCTTTTATTTCTACGTGCTGCATACTTCGCAAGCGTTTCCCAAATATGTTTTGTATACCCTCTTTTTGAAAAGGCAACGCACCCTTCGCTACACTTAAATTCTAAAAACAACTTGGCTCTTTTTCTACTCACCTTGCGCCGTTGGTATGAGCAGCTGCGCTCCCTGCACGCCTTGCACCAGCTGCCCCGAGGCAAGTATCAATTGCGGCATTTGACCACTCGCCGTTGGTGTGGAAAGCGTGGGTGGCGGTGAGGCAGTGGCTGCCGCACCAGCTGCTGCTGCTGCCGCCGCAGCTGCTGCAGCCGAATTCAACACATTTGCCAATGTATTCTGAGCCATTGTCTGTGCCTGCATCGAGCTCGAATTGGGAGATGTACTGCTGGGATTATCCTGACCAGTACCGCCGCCGCCGCCACAATTGCCGGCATGTGACATGACTTTGTTATTATTGTTAGAGGCAGCTGCGGCAGCGGCTGCTGCGGCGAGCACATTCGAAGCGGAAAGAGCACTGGGCGAGCACGGAGCGCTGTGTGTGCCGGTGGCGGTGGCGCCCACCGAGGGCAGACAGGCAGTGATGCCACTGTTACCACTCGCACCGGCACCAACAGTCAAATTGAGCGGCGAATTGAGTGCTGCTGCTGCAGCCGCTGAAGCGCTGATACCTGCCGCTAATCCCTGAAGACTTGCTAATGCTGCAGCCGTCGCCGGAGTGACATTCTGGCCCACACTAACCGGCGTGGCCGTGCCGTCGGGTGGTGTGTGCAGGTTGGGATGTTGCGAGTGGAGATGGTGGTGATGATGGTGAATGCCATTGCCGCCGCCATTGGCATGTTGCATGTGATGGTGTTGTTGTTGTTGTTGCTGCTGTTGTTGTTGTTGTTGCTGCTGCTGCTGTTGCTGAAGCGTAGCTAAATTTTGTAATTTTTGTAAATTTATCATGTCTTGCACTGCGGAGTGTACGGTTACGAGGAGTGCATAATTGTTGTTGTTATTGTTATTGGTGGATTTGTGAACAACATTTTGTTTTTGTTTTTGATAATGAAGTTTAATGCGATGGTGACGGCCAATGTGCAGTGTGATGGAAGCAGAGCGGTGTGTTAGGGGTAGGAAAGAGTAAAAATGAGACAAGTTGCAAGTTATTAGTAAAATTGTGTGGGTCTCGCTTTGATGAGTTAAATTCTTGTCCTGTGTCCTGTGTCCTGAGTCTCGTCTGCGGGCCATTGCAAAGGTCTATTATATTGCTAGTAGGTTGCCTGTTCGCTTGTTTTGTATGAGTATATGAATTTGGTAAGTACATATCTGCAAGTGTGTGATGATTCTCTGTTTCGGCGATTAGTTGAACAGTTATGGGGATTCCCTAAACGCTTAAAGGATACTCGTGTTAATTGAAACAATTAAAGGGTTCAAATAAGTTGAAGCGAGAGGGCCTTTGCATTTGAAAAAAAAAATTGTCTTTCAATATGAAAAAGCTTTAATGAAAGATTTTAAGCTTTATTAAGCACGCTCTAATTTTTTTTAGAAAAAGTTAAAAAGGGGCTGAGAAGGAGTCGGCCTTCGGTGTCATTAGGTACAAGAAGCGCGAAGTATGGCTGCAAGTATTTTATATACAGAAAAGGGCAGCCGTGATTAAACAATTTCAAACAAATAAAAATAAAGAATAAAAATTTGTTAAAAAATCAATGTTTCATTTTTCTTCAATGTTTAATTTTTAAGCCGATTTTAAAAAAAGGAGGAGGTTATCAATTCTCCGGAATATTTTTTTATGTATGTAAAATATATGTATTAGGAAATTTATAATGTTTTTTATCTGATTAATATGTATTTAAATCAAGTTTTAAATAAAATTTTCCATAAAAATGTCTAGTTGGGTCGGAAATTGATTCGTATTTAATTTTATCGATTGGGACGTTTGTAAGAAATTTATTATTAATTCTTTGTTGTTTTATTTAAAGTTGTTGGCCATCTTAAGCTGATTCATCTTCTACTCAAATTAGTTAAAAAAAAATTATGTTTTTATCAGGCTCATAAAATAATTCATATTAAAATTTTAAAATTTCATAAGAAAAATAGTAACTTACTAAAAGCTTCTTTTTTTTGTAAATCAATGTAAAATGTATAGCAATTTTCACCTAATTCATATTCAATGAGAATTAAAATTAAACTTTTCTAAATTTCAAGGTCACAACATAGTTTTTTCCAAAACAAATAATATCAGGATCTTTTTTTATTGCAAATCATTGGAACTCCTTATTTTATAAATTAAATTTTTTCAGTTCACAAAAATTTTTATTAATTAACAGAAATTTTAAAGTATCTCTTTAATTTTAAAATTTTTATCTTTCGACACTAATAAACATGAAAAGAAGAAAATGGCAAATGAATATCAGTGAATAAAACAAAATTAAGCTCAGTTTTACTAATTATTACATATTTTTGATGAAATAGCCAAAAATCATTAAATACAAAACATAAAGTGCAGTTCCCATTTAATCGAAGAACTACAATTAATAGAAAAACAAACGAAAATTTTAACTAAACCATAAATTAAATATAACGATTTCTTTTCACATTGCGTCTGTGCTCTTTTTTCTATAATGCTGCAACTTCATTAATTGAGGGGACTCCCCCTGCCTTGTCTTGTTGTTATTGTAATGTTTTAGTATGTGTATTTCTTTTTTATTTATTTTTTTTTAATAAAATTGGCTTTCGATATGTACTCACTAGTTCCGTTTAGATGCGCCTGCGCTGCCGCTGCTGCTACCGCCAATGCTGAAGCTGAAGCCTTCGCCTGCTGCTCGTGATCTTCAGCATCCGACAAGCGACTAAGCTGGTCTCGGCCGTCGCAGTCCTCGCCCACATCGGTGTCGATTTGCATCGGCTGCGGCGAAGTGGTCGGCGACATTTCGTGGGACTCATGTGATTGACGCGAATGAGCATCATTGTGATTGACCAGTGAGGCAGCCTTGGCTAAACTCTGATAAAATTCCAATTCCTTGACATGATCCTTGTCGTAGGAGTTCTGATTGTGCAAGTCATGTAGGCTGCTATTACTAATCGGCGAATTAATTTTATGGCTGATGATCTCTTTGTCGTAGTCCTGAAGAGAGAGAGAGAGAGAACAGAAAAACCATTGAAATATTTGTGATATTCCAGATTTCGTGTCGAAATAAATAAATTTTTTAAATAGTACTGAATATTGTAGTACACTAAAATAATGACACATTGAAGTATTTTGTATACAAAGCAGCTATGGAATAGCAATCCAACTGACGGTCAACTGTTGCATTCGATAGTGAAAAAAATTGCTCATACGCACTGTCGCTTCCCTACAATAAATGCCAATGCCAGCCATTGAAAAAATAAAAATAAAACATATTTTTGCCCTTGCACATGCCAATAGTGTATTAAATAATACCTAGCCTAGCATTCAACAGTAGCAGCGCCAAAATTAGCTGAGTGTATGTGCGTGTGTTTGTAGCAGCAATCAGCATTTAATAGCCAGCTTTCAGCAGTCAACATACGTCGCATCGTACAGCAAGCAACATGTCGGTATTAAGTGACTTTATTAAATTATATTTGTATTATGTAATTACACAATATGTTTGCTGTTTGCTGGCATTGCCAGTGTGACTCACAAATAATATATGCAAATAGGCATTATCGCAATGTGCTGTGTGTGGCAATATACATACATATGAGAGGCAGCGGAAGTGTTTCTGCTGCTGCTGCTGCTGCTGCTGCCAGTCTAATTACGAGTTTTCATAATTCCCTTAATAAGTATGATATGTATAAATGTATGTAAGTGTGTGTGTGTGTGTTCAGGGAATATCAGTGACAATAATAGCTGCAGTTAAAGTAATCTACTGCTTGCCAGTTCATTTGCTGTTGCTCTGCTATTATGCTAATAAATTAAATGTATGCTTGGATGTGCGATTGTAATTTTATTCAATTTTATTGTTTAAGTCATTTCACACGTTTGCCTGCTTTAATTTTGTGCTAGTTTGTTTGTTTATTTCTTGTTTGGCATTTGCGCTGTTGCACTGCGAGACTGACACTAATTCATGCAGAACATTTTACTTGTGATTGCTGCTTTTAATGCAGCTCATTTAAATACTAGAAGAAGATAAACACAGACAGAGGTATTATAATCATGTGTTAAACATATTTAATATGCGCTATTAGATTTAATAATGGGAGAGAGAGAGAGACAGACAGAAGTGTAGAAAATTAAAGGCATATGGAACACGAGAGGCATGCCATTTTGGTTCTTTTGGAGCTAGATTTAGCTCTTTATTTTTCTATTTAGCTCCGAAAATTGGGTTTTAGCTCCTAGCTCTTTTTTTAGGTATTTTCAAAATTATCTAGCACTTTTTTAGCTCCATAAAGTTTTAGTTATATTTGGTACATATAAGCCAAGACTTAAGCGTTGATAAAATGGAAAATTTCGAGATGCAGTGTATCCATCATAAATCTTGGATCTAGGTTAAAGAATTCAAAAACTAATTAAAAGAAAATCATTTTCTGGTAACGCGGATTTCGTTTAACCTTACTAATTTTACCTTTAAGGAGAGCTAGAAGTAAAACTTTCCAAAAAAAATTTGCGAAAAAAATTATTCAAATCAAATATCTGAAATTACAAATTCTAACAGTTTGTAAAGTATTTTTATTTCACTGTTAAAAGTGCCATAGCAATGAATTCGCATTATATTTGCACCTTATTTTGGTTTTAAAAGATTTATTCAGCACTTAAACTTATAAAATTTGTTGTTTTTATTAAAACTGCCGAAAATATATAGATCTTCATTTTAGCTACCATTAGTATTATTTAGCTCTTTTTAGCTTTTTTTCCGACCGTTTTAGCTCCAAACTAAATATTTATCTGGCAACACTGATGTAGGGATCAGAAATAGCATATGAAACAATTATAATTCAAATACGGAGCTATAAAAGGGCTTTTTGGGCAAAAATTTTGTATTCTTAGACTATATTCGATACTGGAGCTAGAAGGTTGAACAAAGAACTAAACATACTTTGTTCACATCAAAGCATGGAATTTAAACTAAAAGTGCATCTTCTTCTTTTCTAAGGGCTCCAGTGGGTGGTCTAAACACCACAAGCAAGTACTTATGAAACGAGCACATCTGTGTCTATCAAAAATGTTTGAATATTATTTCCTTTTTGAGTTGGGAATAGGTACTAGAAAACATGGTTAAACAAAGAAGATATGTACATAGATCCACGTCAACAAACCACAGGGGCCCAGTCCGGAACGATCCGGTAGGACCCAACCAGATTTGACACGGATTATATGGAAGTACACCAAAAATATTTACTTTAACGAAAAAATACGCATAACTATTAGTTGTCTACGCAATATTTTCATGATAAATTTCCTGTTCGGAAAATTATAGGTATGTATGTGTACATATATGTACTTATCATAAGTATGTATGTTTTATTATTCTTGAAGATTTAATTTTTTTTTAGGGTTATAGTTTAAAATTTTTACAAAATCAAACAATTTTCTAAGATTAGGTATAGTAAATAGACGTATGGTACGCCTTTTTTTATGTATTTTGTCCACTAACCAAAACACTTTCTTATTAGTTACAGAAAAATTCAACATATTCTTGCCTGCATTTGGTTTGTGTCGGGGATGGTCTTAGCTGTATCCACTGGAGAATTTTAACTTCTCATCCCACCGACTGAATGTAAAATTAGAAGCTGTATTCTGACTAAGAAAAGCACTAATATTATTTTCCTTCACCAAGTTAGCGTCGCGGACATGACAGTGGCAATGTTGTCGGAGCAGAGAGGAGCACCCAACCTCATTCTCGCATCTTCGTACATGCCATACGATGTACACGAACCACCGTGAATATCCTTCAGGAAACTCACCACCTGGACGGAGCAAAGGCATAAGTATGTTAGCTTGCGGTGACACCAATGCAGCCCACACGGCTTGGAACAGCTCGAACACCACCATTTGTAATAAGGGATAAGATCAATTACGTTTCTATTTGATTTTATTATTTTTTTCCCTCAATGTAGAGATGTATGCAATCAAGATGACGGCAAGGCTTGTGAACACGATCGACCTAGCTCCATCTGAATGTGCCTTCGTTGTTGACAATCAAGCTGCCATCAATTTCAAATTCAAGTTCAAAAAAAAAAACTAAAGGAAACTTACATTTTACGCCGCCGCTGAATAGAAAAGATTGTTTATTGTTTTTCATTGCAAAATCATACGGAGCGCTGAAAGACAACTCTTTTAACTCTTTAACTTTAAAGTTTAGATTAAAGTCCAATTGGTATGTCGCCATATGAAAGATGGTATTCACTCTAAACATTTATTTCTTATTTTCTAAGATTTGTTTAGTTTATTTGGAATATTACCGATTCGAGCTTTAAATAGCTTAAATACATTATTGAGTGGCATTCGCGCTTTTATGTTGGACTAATAATATATTAAAACATCTTCTTCGATTCTCCACTCCACTGAGGTCCTTGTCAATGCTATCATAGTTAATAGCCATTTGCGATGCGACGATGGTGTTTAATGCAATTATGTTAATTTCCTATGCAAATAGCCTGTCGCGCATTTAATTGCAAGCGCTAGCAACATTTTTCACACAGGCACGGGCAGCAGCGAGTCCTTAACAGAGAGAACAGACTACCACCACCACACACACCTAAACCAAATATCATTAGCCACGCGCTAGGCTACCTTTTTCAGTTTTTTTTCTTCAGACTTTCTTTCTTACTTTGCAGCTCTATCGCCTAGCGGCGGCAACTGTCGGGACGTCGCAGTAACGCGCTTTAAATGCAAACCTTGGTGTGAGTAAGGGTAATAGTGGCCAGTATTAATTGCCAATAATTACTATTGGTTTCGCCAAGAGCGTTTTGTTGCTTATTTTTCTTACTTTTTGTCGATTTCTTGTTCAAACATTTTTCAAATGTTGCGGGTCAGGTTCGACCTTTTTTGTTATCTTCGTTATCTTTGCTTCGCTTACCTCGATGCTGTTTATTTTTGCGATTTGTTTAACACCCTTAATGATTTTTTTATTTTATTTTTCGCATTTCGCCTTGCTTTTTGTTTTCGTCTTCTATTTTTACTCAGTTTGTTTTTATATTTAATTTGCAGCATTAGCATTAAGTAGGGTATCAGTGGGCGAGTGGAAACGAGTGGACGAAAATGCTTACCTTCTAAGGTAAAAGCAGCGCCAATCAGTGGAAAGTGGTCAGTGCAAAGATCGCTTAGAGTACTTTTTGTGTCGCCTTAGCTGGCTTAGGTAGTATTTAAAGGACGCCAGGCAATCGCATTCGTTTACCGCAATTAAAAGGCAGCCAAGCGGGTTTGTTAATTCAAGTAGCAGCGCTTTGCTAAGTGGGCAAAATGTGGGCGGTTTTAATTGGGTATAAACATTGGGAAATTATTGATATATTTACTCTCACTCACGTATTTCGAATTGCACCTGAGCTGTCGAGTTATTATAAATAATTCGATTAATGTATGTGTAAATAGAATGAAGAGTTATTATTATGTATGTATATATTTTCTTTTTAGAGCTGCCGACGAAAATATTGTCACTGTAAAAAAAAGCGGTAGCCAGTTCTTTACACTTCGTTCAAGCTCGCTCTGGGTTTGTGAATAACGGAATTTTTCCGCAGCTCAAACAAATTTTAGGAATGCTAGATATTTAGAGCACAAGGACGGCGCGTAGTCTGGGTGCTGTTTTCTGCATGCGTTCTTTTCGTGCTTAATTGCGGCAAAAAAAGGACGCTGAAGTATATAACATATCCATTATTTTCAGTTCCATTCAAAATCTTAGTTTTTCTTCCTGCTCCTTGCTTAGGTTAATCTAACTATTTTAGTATTCTTAAGTAACCGAATGTGATAGAGGTTGTCCTAACAAATATTTTATGTTACAGTGCTGGTTTAAGATCTATATCTAAGGTACAAAACGTGTCTTATTTGCTATTATTATTTAGGGCCAAAGTATGTTTTATTTCTGAAACTATTTTATTCGGATATAGCTCATGACGCTCCCTAAAAAAATTAATTAAGAAAGACTGAGAAAACATAAATCTGTGTACTGCCCTATTGAAAGGCAGAAGGGGGTGAATTAACATATGTGCAACTGATTTTGGAACTGAAGGCTAAAAGAAAGATGTCGCTTCATGCCAACTTAAATAAATATCTAAGTCTTATTTTAAACCCTCAACAAATCGCCTTAAAACGCTATTTCAACGGCAGCCGCTTATCTGCATCAATCAGAATAGTTGCACCAGCACAAAACCAGCCATATTACACTCAACTTCCATACAATCAGTCTGCTCATCGCCGTATTCAATTGAGCATTCGCAAATCTGTTGAAAAGTTAATTCACATTTCACATCAATGACCAACTTCATTTTAATTTTCAACGTTTTTTCGCTCATTCTGCCTTTACAGGCGACAGAAAAGGCGCAAGCAATGGAATGGCAGAAGGTTGGATAAATTTAAAAAGACAAGCATACAGACACACTTGCAGATGCTGTACTACTCCATATATATGTACATACGTGTATGTGTGTTGTAATCAGTGGCGTACAATAATGATCGGTGGGTGGTGGCTGGCGTTGGTGCCAGCAAGCAAGCAGGACATTCACACCAACCAAGCTCATACATACATACATATTTACATACAGACAAGTAGAACATATGGGTAACTACTTATAATAGTGAATGTATGCATTTGAAACTGTTGGCGTTATGATAGCGCCGGAAAGCATTACAATTTTTCAATAGCAATAACAGCAACAACGATATTCAGCATAGGTACAACAGCAACAGTCATAAATCTCAACATGGTTTCGATTTGCGCGCAAAACATTGAACTTTTAACGGAACGCCAGTGTGGCCACTATGCCAGGCAATGACCAGCCGAAGGCTAGTAAAGAGGCAGCCAGCTTAAAGCGTATGTACTATAAGAGTTATGAACATATAGAAGGTAGAGTAAAAATAGTACAGGTTGACCAATATACGCGCGCCTGTCCTTTAAATAATCGCGTGCATTTATTATAAGTGAGCGTATGTGCATATGTATCTGAGTAGGTATTAAATATAGTGTGAATGAGAGTAAGTGGAGCTTTCAAAAGAGTTTCTGTGGCACGCCCTAAAGGCAGCGAGCAGCTTAAATACACTTTTGTAAATATATGTGTTTTACACTAGTTTGTATGCATATGCTTAAGAATATGCAAAAGTGTGCGAAATATGTTCGCTAGCGGCCCAATGAATTGAACTCTGTTGGCTGTTGGTCGCTGGCGGCTCATTGCATATGCCAAGGCGCACTTATATTAATTGAATTCATGTGATAATTACAATATGTGTAAACTTTATTATTATTACCCATTATAAATGGGTTTTTGTTGTTGTTGCTGCTGCTGTTTTTTATAAAAACTTTAAGCACCTTTTTGCTGTTAATCGGCATTTTCCGTATGATTGCGAAGTAAATGCGCTATGAATAGCACTAACTATTGGGTGTTTCTGTATTGATTGTATGGCTTGAATGAAATAAATAATATTTAAACGATGCTTGGAGAAAGTTCAATATTTCTGTTCATGTATGTAAATATTATACATTGAGGCTCGATTTTTCACATTTTTTTTCTACAAAATCTGCATCTGATCTGGAAGAAATTTCTGACTGTAGCAAATCAAACCGATGGTCGAAAGTTGCGCACAAAAATTCAGAAAAATATGAAAAGTGAGTCCTGGCCGGTCGTACGACCTTTTTGCAATCGAAGTATCGCCCAACTGCCAGCAGCCAGGACTCACTTTTCACATTTCTCTAAATTTTTGGGCGCAAATTTTTTTGTGCCTCTCAAGTCTTTCTTTCAGCCCGAAGAAATTAAATTGCTTGGCTTTCAAATGGTAAATTTTGCCAATTCTATTTTTTTATTTTCCATCGCGTGGGAAAAATTCAGTGCAGTACCGCAAATAAGTTCCCATGCGCTGGTACCCATGTTGAGGTAATTTCCAAGTAATCAAAAACTGAGGTCAACTCTCTCCTACAGCTTTCCACTAGTAACGACGAGTGCCCTGAAATATACTATATATATTTAACCCTCTAGTACCGTCTCCAGACGGTCGTTAACTAAACACCTTTTTAGTGCACCTATAATAATTTTTTTTCTATATTCGTAAGGCACGATCTTTAGACAAAAATCGCACCCTTACGGCGAAGTAAATTTTAATCCGTTATGTCAATCCGTTTTATTGTAATCGGCAGTTGAATTACAGATTGTGAAAGACACGGTTAAAATTATTTATTTCTTGCTATTTAGTAATTTCGTAATTAAAGAAATTTTTTCTTTTGAAAAATTTTTTGATATAAAATAATTCGGTGGATTTCGTAGTTAAAAGCACCGTATTTTGATATAAGTTTTATAATTATGTCACCATTCGAAATGGAGAAAACTGCTTTCGAACACAGACCGTCTACAGACCGGCTTGGCGACATATAAAACCCCAGTTTGCATTTCTGACCGTCTGCAGACGGGATTGCCGGTTCGTAGGTCAACATTGTGTAAGAGAAAGTTTAAAATATGTCAAAGTATATCGGCGAGCCCGCCTCCAGACGGTCTTGGTTTTTCTCCCCTGTAGGCAAAAGTTACTGACTCGTGACATTTCTAGCTGGAAGTTTTATGCTTTTGAGTGAAAATATACTTCGTTTTTGCATTTAGAAATGCTTTGATTAAGATAAAACTTAGCTAAAAAAAATCCCAAACACTGCGTCCGCTGCTTAAAATTATTTTCAAAGCACCACGCCCTCTTCAACCGCCAGCAATGTTTCGTACGTAATGCTAGTATTAACACATTATTTGAACAAAAGAAATTGATTTCTCTTATTCGAATCCCATCTATAAAAAGATATATGACTGTA